TCCAGCTGCTGGGGGGGGGGGGGTCTGTGACCCAGCATGGATCTCTAACCTCAATCTACTTTCTCTAAATGGACCCACAGCTGTAGTTTGTACGTTTATCTTCTGGACTCGTGTGCAATATGTTCTGATCTGAAAGTACGCAATTCAACAACTAAATGAACGGAAAAACCCTGGAACCCCACAAACACGCACAAACACACACAAGCTCAAACACACGCACGCACACGGCTGCTGTGCTTCCCTGACACGCATTCCGGACCTGTTTTACGAGGTCATGGAAGGCGTTTTAATGAGAACTGAGGCAGGTTCCTACACGGCCTCCTTCTGCTCAGAGGAACTGGAGAATCGTAGAAGGAGCAACGTTTTTATATTTATATATGAACCACATCAAGGCAATATGGTATTGAGGAGTTTCACTTAATCTTCATATAAACCCGTTTAACAATTAATCAATGTATGATGTTAAATATTAATAAAACACTGGATACAAATGCCATTTTTTTGCAGGATTTGTTTGTTTATCACCATAAATAAAATCACTAGTTTTTGTTCTTATTCTTGAAGATTAGATTCGATTTATATCACAGCAGCCATGAAATAGATTTTTTTAATTCTGTACGACCAGCATGGATGCGTTTCATCACATATAGTTACATAAAGTTTAAATGTACTGTTTTTTGCTTGTTTGATTCCGATGTGTTAAATATTTTAAATGACGTCTCGTCACTGCACGGTGTCGTTTGCTGTTATGCGACTTTACTTAATAAGCAATAAACCTTTGTGACATTCAGATCACAGCTCAAACAAAGTGTGCGTCCGTGTTCGTCCTCGAGAGGAGAGCCGCCGATCGTCACCGGCTGACTCAACCCAAACAAGCCGCCTCCACCTGCAGCATCCGTCAGCATTCCTCACAGAGCAAACGGGTCAGGGCCGAAATACGTCTGTTCACGCCCGCCGCCCTGTGAGGAATGCAGCACGCACACACACACACACACACACACGCGTGCAGCCAAACGTGCACGCACACCGGGAACACTGAGGCCGCTGTGCAGCGAGGGAAACCACAGGAGGAGCAGACGCGCTTACGTTCAAACAGCAGCCAGCGGGTGGAGAGGCCCGGGTGGTGCAGCTAATGCTAGATGCTAACACGTGTCTGGTCTCCGGCCCACAGGCCCTTCGGTTACATGGTGCCTTCATGGGCTCAACAAGGGGAGCTTTCAGGGGCCCAGGGTCAACGGGAGGGCTGTGTTTATCCACCCATTTTAAAACACACACACACACACACACACACACACACACTTGGCCTGGGCTTCCCCTTCCCTGTTTCACACAGTCTCCCCTGTGTTTCATTTTGCAGTTTGTTGATGTTGTTCCGGGCATACGTGTGTGTGTGTGTGTGTGTGTGTGTGTTTTTACGTCGGACAGAACTTATTGAAACTTTACGGAGGGAAAAATAAAATTAGCATGAAGACGTTTTTTTATCTTGGATACATCTCTGGTCATGTTTGTGAGGTTTTGAACATCGATCCTCTGACGGTCAAATAGTGAAACTTCCCGTTTGGTTATTTTAAAAAGTAGCTCACTTCAAAGAGATCCAATCAGGTGACGGCTGTCGATCCCCGAGGCCCCCGGGGGCCACGACACACTCTGAAACACCGTCAAACAAACATCGCGTACTTTGAGTCCTGCCACCTTCATCCTCGATTTAAGTGGCGCGAAACGCAAAACGCACAAGATAATAAGAGCTTATAATTGGATGCATGAAAATATCAGTGAGTCTCCAGGACCAGTTGTCGACTGGGAGCGCTGGTTTCCCCGCTAACCATCGATCAGTGGGACGAAGCCTCCCTTCACAGGATTATGACCTCCGACAAAGATGAAATATGAATGCTTCATATATTTTAGGCCAAAAGAGAGAAAAACACAGGAAGTAGAAGGACACAAACAGCTGTGCTGCTGAGAGGGTGAATCATTAATCCGCACCTGCAAACACACACAGACGTGTAGCTGTACAAAAGCAACACGGAGGCACGAAGCTAGTGATGTAATATAACATACATGGCCACTTTTAAACATGTTTTAACAATGTATTTTTTGAGGGGCTGCAAATCCTGCTCAGAATCATATTTTAAAAAATTGAAATGCAAAATTAATGTTACGAAATCTCCCTGGCACGGCCTCTAAAGCACAAACTGAATGTACACATATAGACAACTCGATAGAACAGAGGCAGTATAATCCAAATGGACGTCGTCATGGCAACCACACCTGTTGGTTTGTGGACGGATGATTTGAAGCCTTGAGTTAAATTTCAGCCATGTTGGATTACGTTGTTGTTGTTGTTGTTTTTTCCCGCAACAAATGAACACAAGTGATCGTATTTGAAATGTGGAGGAGTGATGAAGAGACGCTGGTAACAACCTGTCCATCACAGTAAGCCCCGCCCTAAAGCCTCCCCTGCTTTATGTCGGTTTGTCTCTAAATGGTCCATCGTTTACCAAAAATGAACATCATGTTGCGTTGAAGAACACTTGAAACTAGAGAAAAGTTCCAAAAACATGACACCTTATGACTTCAACTTTAACCCGATTAGCATTGAGCGCACACAGACACACACACACAGACGCACACGCAGACGCACACGCACTTGGCCTCCCTTCAGCAACGCGGCGTGTCTGGCTGGCACCGGGGGGGGGGGGGGGGCGGGGGGAGTTATCAGCCAGCAAAACCACAAACATCTGCACGTCAAAAACGTTCACATCAGCCACAGAGGCTGTGAAAACACCACGCCGGATTCCCGCGCTGCGCTTCTCCACCTCGCCCCTCCGTCGCCTCGCCTACCGAACGTTAACATACTCCACTGGGCCTCCAAAAGGAAATTTCAAGGCACTTCGTTAAAACAGCCTTTTCAGTTTTTGCACCGGAGGACGACTACGATCCTCCATGACGTTACAGGCTGAATTCAACATGAATCACAGGTCCATAGAGAACAGCACCGCGGCCACTCTTAAATGGTTCCACCATCGTCCCCGAGGCCGCTGTGATGGAAACATTTCAGCTTGTTTGTCTTCACCGTCTTTCCAAACGTGTGTTTTCAGCATCCCTGAAAACAGAGAGAAATAGAGGAGCTCTCCTCCGCTGCACGTGGGCGGGTGGAGCTAAATTTAGTGACTTTATCGCGGCGCCGGCGATCCACTTCACAGAGTCGTACACGAGTGGAACAAAACGCCTGCGTGGAGGCGCGAAAGGATCGCGGCGTCTAAAAAAAGGACCTGGAGGCTCTTTAAAAACTTGTTTTGTTCTTTGTGTCCTCTGACAGAGACCAGCAGGCAGCACGGAGCTCAATGCAGCGATGACCAGCCGGCTGCTTTCCACAGCTTCATGTGAGGAAGAGGAGGGAGAGGAGGAAGAGGTGGTGATTTTAAATCAACCGGCCTCCCTCGAGCTAAAGCGTTACACAAACTACCTCCTGAGTTTAGGAATACGTCCTCTGATGGGAGTTCACGGTGTGATGTTTGGTTTGGTTTTATCAGCCTGCTGCCTGACCCAGAATGCATTGCAGTAAACCCTTTTTCAAAATGTAAGCATGTCATGGACCACAAGCTGACCCCTGAAAGTGTCTCTCAACGACCCAGTTGGGTCCCCGCACCTCCGTTTGGGTAGCAGCTTATGTAGTTGGCGCTGGACGCTTCAACTTTAGCTTAAAACATTTTTAAGTAAGTGTCACTCCTGCGAGGCTCAGTCAGAGACGTCATCGACGTTGGAAACAAACTATCCGGTTAGCTCAACGTCATTAGCAAGGGACGTGAAGTCTTACTGAGGGTAATTAACTGAAGTCAAAGTGAAGTGACAGCGGAGCGAAGCGGCAGCTAACTTTAGCACAGCGAAGCTAATGAGAAGAAGAAGGAGGAGAAAGCGATCGTTTTGTTTACCTCTGCGCTCCGCAGCGGGGGCGGTTTCTTCAAAGCCAGTTTGAAAGAAGTTTCCATGGCTCCGGTCATTTTCATCACTCCGGCTTCTTCCTCAAATTGTATTCCTCACTTTAACGCCGCATCGCCGCTGTTTTTGTATTTGTTAATCGCGGCCAAAACTAACTCACATCCGCCGCGGATCGAGCCGAGCTCCGAGCCCCGCGCTGCGGGCTCCGAGCATGGATGGATCTCCTTCTTCCCTCCGGGGAAAAAGAGAGGAACCAAAAGAGAAAACTTTTTGGAAAACGACTACAAAAACAAGAAGAAGCCACTTAAAAGCGTGACAGGAAGTGAAATCCACGGGACGTGTAGAGTTGGAGCCCGCACATCTTTGGGTCAAACGGAACGTCCTCGGTAGCGCGCGACCGTCACATCCAGGAGTTGAGATTTCTTTTTAGGTCCCTCCCCCTGCGGAGCGGACGGTGACGACATCTGTCTCACGGCGACCGCGTCACGTTCAGGTGCTGTCCGAAATAAGGGGACTCTGGCGAGTGGAAGGTGGAATACTGAAAAGGTTGGATTTATTTGTATCGCCACAAATATTGCCGGATGAACACTAAACCTTTTCTTAACCTCATTTTGAATAAAGAAAGAAAAAATAATGTCAACAATATAAATGTACACACAAATAGAATTCTTTGAAAGCTGAATTATTTATTACAAAGTTTTCCTCCTTTAGTGAAATATACACTTTATCAATTTAGTTATATCAGCAAAATAGAATGCAAGTGTCAATTTTATTCAAAATATTTTTATTTGTAAGACAACATATCGTCCCGTTTCCTTTCTTTTTGAAGTTATTTGTTGCTTCAACGGAATGAAGTGGTTTGGGTGGTGTAATTTACGAGCTTTGGAGGAGTCCTTTAACGCATTGTAGATCCTCTTTCTAACTTCTGACACCTCAATGTCCGCTGCCACAGAATGAAAATGAATCGAACCATTAAAACAAATTTGCAAAGACTTTCGAGGAAATAGCAGTTCTAACTCCAACCGCGTCTTGATTTCTCCACCGCTGGTTTTAATGGCAGGTCTCTGGAAGGTAAAGAGTCGGGACTCCTGACGGAGAGGAAGCATGTCTCATATCTCCTCATATCTCCCTTTCAGCCAGGAGGACACTCCTTCGTTTTATTGCGTGCGTGTGTTCGTTTTGTTTTACATCCCGTGCCGCAGGAGGGGTGGAGCCACTTCGAGGGAAGTGAACACAGAAAAAAAAAGTGGGTAAAATATGTGACCCAGATGGTGGAAGCAGTGAAAGTCAAAGTTTCACCAATCCAAACAAGCGAATTTATTTACACATCTGTAAAAAAAAATTATATAATTTATATATATATATATATATATATATATAAATTATATATTTTATTATGAGTATTTTGAATTTTGCATACTTAATAAAAACAGAGAAGAAAAAAAATCCACTGAAAAAAAGATTCTTAAAATCGCCATCTTTATTGCACAACATTCCCATAAAATTGAGAAAAAAGATAATTGGAGGAGACATTCTGTACAAATACATGAAGTAAACAGGCGTATGTACAGTTTATATGAACCGCTTCACACAAAATAAGTTACTCGAACACAACGCGGACGTATAAAGTCTTTAGTCTTTATTCCCTACAGGTGATGGCTGATGCGCAGCGTCTGGGATCGATTCCACCGACAGAAGATCTGTTAAGACCGGGCTCAGAATGTGGGGGGTTCAGAGGAAGAAATACAGGCCCCAAGATACCTGCCCTGGCAAGGACTCTTTTAATAATACAGGTGTTTGTTCTTTAACGAGCTTGGTCGTTATGAATTTTACCAAAGCAAATCAAATCAAATCAAATGAATCAAATCAAATGAATCAAATCGCACTCAGACAAAAAAAAAAAAAAAAAAAAAGACAGAATCTTCCGTCGGCGTCGCTGGGAAACAAAAAGGATAAAAAGGTGCGCTGCTGTAGTTTAGTATCTTCGTGAGTGAAAATAGTGTTAACCAGTATATATATATATATATATATTATATTATATATATATATTTATTTATATTTCCTCCCACAGCGGCGTGTTTCCCCCCTTGAAGCCATGAACATCGTAAGAAAAAGGCGCCTATAAAAATGTGAAAATACTTCAGCATTTGGGTCGTTGAAGCGTTCTGATGCAAAAATATTTTGTCGTGACGACGATCCGAATTTGTGACGAACGTTCCCTTTTGTTTTGAGGGAGAAGAACACAGCATGGAGTCCTCCGATTAAAAGAGCGGGAAGTCGTGACGTCACCGGCCCGTGAGGACGTCTGAGGTAGAGCTGGACCTGTGGTCAGAATGTTACAGCCCCTCTGAGCCCAAATAAAACCACCGCCAAACGAGACCTTTAAGAAATGTGGCTCGTAAACAAATGCATGAAAATAAGAAATAACAAAACTGGCAAGAGATTGATGATCTCAGAGATATTCACCCGCAAGTGGTTTGAACCTCCGTCCCTTGTGTTTAAGATTGTACAAAGAGAAGAAAAGCAAAGAGAAGCAGCAGCAGGAACTCGGCTGTCGTCCTGAAGGTTCCTCCTCACCGCGGAGAAAGTCTTTGGTTTTTAGGTCCGAAAAGAAAACAAAGAGTTTCTGTTTTCAACATTCAAGCAGCTGGAGGAGGTTGGTTCCGTTAGCCCTCCACCCCATGCAACCTCTGCACTACAGCACGTTGAGGGGGGGGGGCTCACAGCAGGATCTGGGCCACGTAGGGGGAGTGGGTGCTGGCCACGGCCGCCAACAGGGGGAGGTCGCTGGACTCGATTCTGCAAACAAGACCAAAGAAATGGACTTAAAAATAAATTAATCATGTTGTTAATCCATTTGTATTTAGCTGTAGCCCCCGAGTATCTAAACCTTTATACACTTCCATGATTAAAGGGTTTTTTTTCAGTTTGAATTTAGGCATTTCTGATTTTAACCTCATGTTCACGTCATCTAAGCTAACTATGCTAACGATGCACATTGAGCATCGTTTACTCTGTTTTCTAACTAGTAGAATTATTTGTTGCTGCCCCCTGCTGGTTGTAGAAGGAGGAGCCATTTTTAGTAAGTATTATATTACACATACATCTGCATTTACCCCCCCCCCCACAGTGCAGCACGTGGCGTGTGGTTGCACATTGTTCCCCTGTGTGAGAGCGAGTGACCTTCTTACCCCAACACCATGCCCAGCTCCTTCACGTGCACTCTCGTCTGCCCCTTCAAGTACTCGGCGAGCATCTTACTCTTGAAGTAGATTTCCTGCAGCCGGTCCTCCAGGTGCATGATGCACTGCGGAGGAGAGGAGAGGTTAGTGGGGCTGTTGGCGGCGTTGGCGGTGCGCTGACGAGACGCCTCACGTACAAAGTTGGGCGAGAGGTTGAGCTTGTAGAGCTGGTGGGTGGACTGCAGCAGGCTGGACACCAGGCAGGACACCAGCACCTCCTTCCCCAGCTTGTTGGGGTCCATGGCCCGTCTCTGGCTGCTCACCACCTGCACCGTCCACCTGTCTGTGTCTGCTACGATGCAGACGGCCTCGGCTATGGGCTCGTCCAACACTGGGTGCTGCGGGGGGCAGATCAGCATGAGAGGCATGCAAAGAGGGGGCAAAAGGAAAGGTTGGGGGGGGGGGAGGCGTGGCAGTGCTTTACCCTGAACAGCGTGGGTTAACTCAAGCCGTGAGAGACTGCCGCAGCTTCTCGTCGCTAGGCAACCCGTGCATGTACGAAGTCCGGCACGTATGTGGGGGCAGTAGCCCCCGGAACAGAGACGGGCCGAAGTTTGCGATGCTCGGCTTCGAGTAGTTCTTCCACCAGCTTCGACCTGCAAATCATGAAGGAGGTTTCTGTTAGAAATGATGAAAGAAGGCGGGGGTGGGGGGGCAGTGCGTCCTGTGCTCACCCAGGGAACGGCACCAGCACCTCCTCCTGCCAGTCCTCGGTGTCCTCGCTCTCGCTGTCCCCCAGCGCGCTGTCCGAGCTCTCGTTGCGCGGTATCTCCCACTCGTTGGCGGGCGCCGCCTTGCGCTTTTGGTCCTCTTTGCCGTCGCAGCCCTGGGGGGCGGGGCTCGTCAACGGGGGGCCCTCGTCCTGCTTGGCAGAACAGCCCCCGCAGCAGCAGGCGTCGGAGAAGTCCGTGGAGCCGCACCCGCACCTCCTCTCGACCTGCGACAAACTGCCCCCCTTTCCGCCGCTACCCAAACAGACGGCCAGACCCTGATCACCACGAAAGCCGTGACCTGCCAGACCCCGGTGCGGGGGGGCTCCCGCGGGGTCCGGTGAGCGGCCCCCGGTGCCGGCCTCCTGCCACCGGTCCGCATGGTCCGTGGTCCTGGTCTCCACTGGCTCCTGCTGGCTGGAATACGCCCCGAAATCCTCCAGGCAGGTCGCCGTCCACGTACTGGACACCCGCTGCAGCGCCGGCGCCGCCTTGGTCGTTTTGGTTTGGTCCCCCGATGCGTCGGAGCTGCTGGTCGTCGATTCCGCCCGTCTCCGCGGCGGATGGAGTTGCCCGAGGCGATGCTGCTGCTCCAGCTGGTGTTTCTTGTAAGCCTCCTCCACCTGCCGTCTGCGGCTCTCCGTGTCCGACTCAGGAGACATGGAGTCGCCGATGAGGAAGGTGACCTTGGTTGCGGGCTCCTCCTCCTCCTCCTCCTCCGTGAGAGTCAAAGCCATGGTCCCCGGCACGCCAGCCGCCTGGTTCTTATCTGGGGGCTTCTTCTCAAGGGGGGGCCATAAAGCCTGCGGAGACGGCACCACGGAGGGCGGGTCCCTGCAGGTAGCCCCCTCTGCGTCGACACGGGTCAGGGACGGACTTGGTGGAAGAGTCGAGGGTGCAGGTGGGACGGGGCGGTCTCCCTTGGTCTCTGAATCCAGCACACAGACCTGCTCCCCGGGGGGCGCCGAGCAGACGCGCAGCACCGCCTCCAGCCGGACCTCGGCGGCCGGCGGGTTGCTGGGCTCTGCGTGCGCCCCCCCTGGTTCGGCTGCCTCTGGGGTCCGTATGACGCGTCCCGTCTGAAGCACACTGCTCCCTGACCCGTGACTCTGACTGCTGTCCTCCTCCTCCTCCTCCTCCTCCTCCTGATCTTCCTCGTTGGGCGCGTTCCCGGCGCCACACTCCACCTCCGTGTCCGTGTACGTGCTGCTCTGCAGGCTGTTGTCTGAAGGGCAGCTGCCGTCCTCCCCCTCGGCCTGCCGGCCCTGGGCCCCGTGGGACAGGTAGTCCCCGCTGGGTTTGTGGACGGTGACCAGGACGTAGTCGGACTCCTCCACCTCCCCTTTCCTCAGGGAGGTGGTGATGAGGGAGCCGGGCATGACGATGGCCTCGTCCTCGGCGCTGTCCAGCATGTGGGTCTCCAGCAGCTCGGAGCAGCGGATGAAGTACGTGAGGACGTAGAGGAGTCTCTGCACCAGCTCCTGTCTGCGGCCCACCACCACCGTCCTGGACAGGCGCACCGGCGAGCCGATGGAGCCGTACAGGTCTCCTGCACACAGCGGCCCAACAAAGAGACATCAGAATTAATGCGTTCGGTGCCTGCAGGTCTCGCCTACGGCCACCAGGTGTCACCGTGGCCCCACGGTCAGATTTACAGCTCACCCAGCTGCGCCCACAGCGGATTGTAGGGGTGTGTCTTTGCCAGCATGTCCACGCTCTTGGAGGAGTGTTTCTCCAGGAAGATCTTGATGGGGGGCTGCCCGTTGGGCATCACGGTGGGCACCCAGGCCAGGTGATTGGTCAGGATGGCCGTCAATAACGCCGGGAGGAATCTGGAAATATGGGACAGTGGGTCAGTGGGCCGGCAGCGGATTATAACGCACTGAGATGTGCTTCCCAGTGGAGGCACTTGGTCCGCTTCCCTCTTCAGGGGAAACTGGCTGGACACCACGTACACACATTCCTTGTTTGCAACACACACGAAAGACGCACGTTAGCCTGATTCACTCTCTGATCCCGACCTGCTAGTGAAGTTGTGATAAAACCCCTTTGGCTTTAACTTGCTGTCTTTGTTTGGCAGCTGAATCTTTGCTTTGTGTCCCTGACGAGGCTCAGAAACGCACACGTCTTAAAAACAACTGTGTTCAACAAAAAGGCCTCGCTGCCCATTCAAACGCGCACAATTTCTTGAATTTCCCCTCGGGGATCAATGAAGTACTTCTATTCTATTAGCAGTGGTTTGTCGTGGCTTTGTAACAGCAACAATACGCAATTAGAGCCTGGCGGGGATCTTCTCATTCACAGCTCCTCCGATTCACACACACGCTGAGACGCTCAGTGTGTGTGTGTGTGAGAGAGAGAGAGAAAGGCCGTACACTGTGTGGACTAGAACAGAATGAATAGTGTGCGTCTGTGCGTGAACTTGCGTGTTTTATTCTCCTGACTCATCCGGGAAGTACGAGCGAACCAAAGATGTGGGGAAAAGAAGTGTGCATGTGCGGCGTTGTCAACGTGCTGAGCGCTGCAGGACTTTCCTTCTCGTCCAGCCGGAGAAACTCCAGGACAGAGAATGTCGTATGTAAAAAATAAAAGCGCTTTCCAGAGCAGCTCCCCGGGCGGCGGCCTAGAGGCGGCGCAGAACAAGCGAGCCACTCAACTGGTTCTTGGAGGCCTGCTCCATCAGCAGGGCGAGCTCCCTCATGAAGTGGCCGCAGAGCTGGTTCTTCTCCGACGCCCCGGACATCATGGTCAGCCAGACGGGCTCGGCCACCCGCGGCATGGTGTACAGGTCGCAGATGGTCCTCCTGCAGGTACAGGTGAGAGAGGGGTGGAGGAGGTGGGGAGAGCCAATGAAAAGGGAGGGACGAGCGGGAGGAAGACAGACTCCGTATTGTCTCTCAGGGTGAACAAAAGCCAGCTCAGTTCCGAGGCCATGGGAGACCCTGGTTACACACACACACACACACACACACACACACACACGCACACACAGATACACACTGTGTGTGTATCTGTGTCTGTTGACCATTGAGGGGGGACTGGAGTTTCCAGCCGGGGGGGGGGGGTTGGTGGTCTCTGCAGTTTGAGGAATGCAGAAGATAGGGCGTTTTTTAAGCTGGTGCATTCTGGGGGTTTGTGAAATGCCAAAGTGCACAGACACGATGTGGAGGAGGCGCTGCCCACTCGCTGGAAAAAGATGCTGCTGCACATTAAGGCGGCCTCTTCACTGCCCGTGCACAACTTCAGATTGGCTTTTTTCATATTTGGTTATTATAGTCTTTCTCCACCTCACTGTTATTTCTATCATTCTTTTTATTGCAACTAATATTATAATAATATTGTCCATTAGAATTACAGCTCTTTAAATGTGCTCTACTCATCGATGTGGTTTTATCAGATGCTCCTAATGATTATCAGAATGTAAAAGGTGCAATAATCCTCCAGCTGGGTGGTCTGGTCACATGACTTAAAAGGGAATAAAAGTTCTGCCCTGTGCTCTGAACCCGACTTGGTTTCACTGGAAACCAGAGACCGTAAACAAGGTTCGTCCCGCCGGCCCGCGAGCTATAAAGAACCCGGTGACGGAGGAGATGTGGGCCGGCTGCATGCTGAGAGAAAACACAGGTGTCACAGCCAATGTGACCTTCACCCGTTCGCCGGTAATCCGGCTATTTCAGGTCCGAGTGTCCAAAGAAAACAGGAACACTTTGTTCAGCGAAAAGAAGAACCGACTAACTGCAAGATCGTGAATGTTGCAAGTAGTTCTATCCGGACTTCCCAGTCGAGTGTTGTAACCCAAGACCTGCTGATCGCACGAGGACGCAAAGGACCTCGCCTCGAAACACAACCTCAGGAGGTCGCTCGGATGTGATCGACTGATCCCCTCGTAGCCACGGCAGCAGCTATTCACGTGCACTTTCCGTAGGACATCACACAGGAAACGAGGTCGCTGCGTAACTGCTTTTTTTCGCCACTAGAAACAGACGCAAACCCCAGAACCAGCCGACGTGACATTGATGCCCACGTGCCTCTGCTCATCTGTCGGCATGCGTCGGTTCGAGTGCAAACACGTCAGACCCAGAAGCTCCCTCGGCCTTCCGCGAAGGCATTTCCTCCGGTCTCCTGCCGGCATGTTCCATGAAGTCAAAGCCCCTTAATGGCAAAGGTGGCTCCGCTTATATTTAGCTGCCGTTTAAGGTGAGATTTTGCAGATATTTAGTTCAGCTTTCCTCCTGCTGGCTCCCGCATGTTATTTACTATTCTGGTGCCGGTGTCGGAGGCGGCTTGGGTTGCCGCCCTGCAGGCTCGGGTCGCTGTGGCCGGCAGCCAACGCGCGCATGACTGCAGCGAGCAGGCGATCTGCCTGTGTGTGTGTGTGTGTTGGTGGAGACAAGCATGCGTAAACATACACTAAAAATGTGTTTGTTTTATGAGCACCGAACTTGGATACGATGCTGACAAGACCGTCACACGCGCACAATCAGCAGGATCTTACCATAGTTGATTGAATCGCTTCCAGGGAATCTAAATCAAGTAGTTCTGCGTACGAGGTGATCGTGGAGTTAAGGAGTAACCATTCAAAAATTTCCGGCCAAATAGGCTTCAAATAGCTCCCAGCATGCACCGCGGCCACAACGCAACATTTGTGGTCTGCTCTCGACAGGTAGGAAACTGAGTTCCTCCTTTCTTTCACCAGACATGTTTCAACATCTCCTACCGGCTTAGCAAACAGGTCGACAAGTAGCGCTTAAAACAATAACTTCATTTGAAGACATACGAGGAAAGGCCAGGGAGTGTTAGCATCACGCTAACATACACGGCGAGTATTCACAAATTAATTGATCGCTGCGACACCGCAGCACGCCGACGTCCGTCCGTGCAATGAGCTCTAACGACAGCACAGCAGCAAATAGCAGGTCGCATGTAAACAAATGTTGTCTATCTGGGTGAGAGATGAGAGGCTTCTTTCGTCGGCAGCTGGTGAAGATCAGATGCTGTCAGTAGAAACGGAACGTGAAGCCGGCGTGGTCAGTGAAAACTAAACCGTGCCCATGGCTTTAACTATGCACAGGAAAGGAGAAAATACCAAAATGTCAGAGCCAGAACTTGAGTGACACACGGTTGGAAACAGCTCAACTCAAGTTAAGGACAAAAAAAAGAACTGACTGAAACTTTACGTTGGAATAGAAGAATGTGAAACGTTTTGTTCTTCCTTCTTCGTAGAACTCATTAAACATAAAAACATCGGTAGCTCTTGACTGCAGAGATGTGCAGACTGCGCTGACCAAAGCCCCTCAGAAGGACGTTCATTTGCATAAGTAGAAATAAACGTTTGAGTTATAAAAAAGATCAACTACGGCGTGATGTGAAGAACAGCCACCGGCCGCGTCGTCGGCGCCAAAAGTGTGAAACAAATGACGACTTGTTGCCCAACCTGAATTCGTTGAGCCCGTCCACCATCCGGCTGTAGGCCAAGGCCCTCTGGCTGGCGTCAGCTGACCTCCGACTCATCTTCATGGCCTTGAGAGAAACGCACACGTCGCACTGTGAGAAGAGAGCGAAAACACAGGACCCCCCCCCCCCGAGGGGAGAAGCACCGTCGCCGAAGTCACCTGCTCGATGGCGCTCTTGAGTTTGTTCATGTGGCTTTCGAAGAGGGGGAAGTGAGAGAAGAAGAAGTCCTGGAAGCGGCTGTTCTCCTCGGGGTTGGGGGACAGCGTGAAGATGACCCCGATGGCGATCTTCTTCTTCCGGGCCACGCCCAGGCTCGGCACTCCGCTCTCGTCAGACATGTTGAAGCTCTCCTCCACCGACCTGAAAGAGAGAGACAGATCTCAACACGAACCGTCACCACTACAATAAGATATTTCGTTTTTGGTTTTTTTGCAACGTCAAAATACCAAAACTAGGTATTGTCTAAAGTTAACTTTTGGAGAAATCTGCAGATGGAAACACAGAGTAGTAAATTCTAAATGTGTTTTCTTTCCGCTAGTCTGAATGTGGTTTCTCTCCTGAAGCAGAGAAGCTGTGTAACTGGTAAAAAGAGGCTGTGGGGGGCGAGAAGATCGGAGCACTCAGAGGCTGACAGCTGCATTTACAGTGACGGGTCAACGCGGCATCCTGTCTAGTCACAGCACCGCGTGTGCGTGTGCGTGTGTGCAGCTGGAGGAAGTCCTGGTAGGATAAACTCTACAGAAGCCCGTCAGAGGCTCTGAACAGGGGGGGGCAGTTGGAACACGCGTCTCCCTCTGCTATTGTTCACTGATTGTGCGCACACTTGGAAGGTGCTGCAGGATGCACATTTGTGTTACGTGGAAAACATTCCCCTCCTGCAGATAACGAGAACTCCGGTAACGTCACCGGTGTTTACGCCAACAGAAGGTTGATAAGTTAAAGCTGATGCTTTTCTAGCTGAGGACACGTTTCAAAGATTTGGGAACTTCTATTGCTGCTTTAGAAAAAGTTTGTTCACCTACAAGAACAATGCTTGGAGTCATTTACAGAATTGTCTTTTTTCTCTCAAATAATGAATGAATAATGACGCCCGTCCCTCGTGCACACGCCTGCGTGCTGCTCACCAGCGGGGGAAGACTCCGTTCTCCAGGCTGGTGGTCTGGCTGCGGAGCCATCGGCGCTGGTAGCTGGACGCACAGCTGCTGGTCAGGGAGGAGCCGGGAGACGGGAAGGGGGTGATGAGCAGGCTGCTCAGAGACGCTGCAGGACGTCGGGTGGTTTCAGAGACAATGGAAGGGAACAGATGGAGGAATTAGGTGGGTGACGGGACGAGAGTGAGTCAGACGATGAGTGAGTGGGGCACTCATTGTGCACACACACACACACACACACACACACACTTTCCTTACTAACGCAAAGCACTTGAAAGGCAGATATCTAAAGCACACAAACAAAACAAACATCATAGCGAATTAAGGTCACTGCTTTCTTATGAGAGCTAACATCAGTTAGCCTGCTAGCTGGTATGTCGAACAACCTCCGTCTCCGCGCCCGGCCTGTCAACACACACACACACACACACACACACACACAGGATACAGGCCTGATCACGGGGTTATTTACAGCTCGCACTGAAGGGTCACATGAGCCGCTTTAGATGTGAAGCGCGCGTGGAGAAATAAAGATACATCATCTCCAGAGCGCCGAGCGAATGAGTGTGTGTGAGTGACGTATGAGGAGAGACGACCACACAGCGGGTGAGCTACTGGAGCCGAGAGGAGGGGAGTGTGTGTGTGTGTGTGTGTGTGGGGGGTTGAATTAGAAGCTCATTAGAGCTCCTATATTTAATCCCCCACATGTGGGCCGGGTTTGGGCATGGTGGTATTTGTAGGGGGGGGCGGGGGGGGGTCCATTTCCCAAGGTTTTCCAGACCCTAAAAGCCCAGTAGACTCCTCCTCCACCATCTTCCATCACTGCGACCCCTCAGATTTTGTGATTCTAGGTCAAGCGTCTGCATGCTGCATTGTGGAAGCACTCCAGCTGCTCCCGACCTTCTACAGTGAAGCTAAAGAAAGTCACGTTTGACCCCGTTTGTGCTCGGGGTGAAAACGTAGTCATCATTTCCTCACTCTTCTGTCTCGACAGAAATAAAACGTGAACTGGATTGGAAGCACGCCTCGCTGTGCCGAGCGCAGGTCAGTCCGGGCTCTGGTCCTCGTTGACATACCTGACCTGGCGATGCCGCTGTCCCTCTCCTCGTGGAGCCCTCGGCCGGGCATGTCCATGGGGTGACTGTGGCCTGGAGGGAGGGGTGAAGAGAAAAAGAAGTGAGAAACACATTAAAAGAAATCAGCTACCAGGGATGCTGAGGATGCTCTTCTACCCCGAACTCATACAAAAGCCAATGCTTTTACAGGTTTTACCTCCTCAGCATCCACCTGTGAGCTACAGCAAGAAAACAAATATTTCCACTGCATACAAATATCCAACTTGCAACCAGGACACATGTATTGAGCTTCCTACTGTAACGTGACCAGTGTGGTATATGTACTGGTTCACACATACGGCTCATATAAGTGCTTGGCGTTGGACTTATATATATATATAATATATATATCATATATTTATATAAATATATGATATAATATATATATATATATTATTTATATAAATATATTATATAATATATATATTTATTTATTTATATAATATATATATATATATATATATATATAAATAACAAATAAATATGTACATGGATAGATGTATCTACAGATATAGATACTGTGAAACAGGCGATTGTCATGCTGTTAAGTGTGACACAGAAACAAGCGGATCACAAAGCGCTGCTTTGCAGGCCGCCGCCCACAGCAGCTGAGACATGGAGGTCATTCGCTCTTAGGCGTCCTCCTCGTCACCGCTTAAACGCGTAAAGACGGCACTAACTGTCTGACTGGAGGAGCGAAAACCACAAACAAGGAATGATTATGATGATGATTAACAAGGAACACAACTGGGGCTTTTATTGTAGAGCATTCGGGTGTTTCCCTGAGCGGGACGGGGCAGTCTGCAGGGAGAGGCCCTTTCTGTTTTTGCTTCAAATAAAAAAAGGAGGTTTTACCACATGAGCGACAAAAGGCCACTGGGTACGTCTGAGGCCGTCCGCTCAGCGCAAAGTGATGATTGATGGGAATTAGAGTTTAATGTAGTTCCTTGTGTCCTGCTGCTGGTTTGAATCCTGATCAGAAGGAACATGTCGTGCAGAAGGAGTCTCTGCTGACGGAGCGTTGGTTGTTTTTTTTGCAGCACGCTGCGCTTTATTTCATCTTTTATCAATAACGACTTAACGCGACCCGTGAAATTAACGTAAAAAAACTCAAATGATGCACTAATTCTCCCTAATGCTGATACTTTGTCATGGTTACAGCAGTACCCGGCAGGAGAGCGTGAGGATTCCCCGCTGTGCCCCCCCCACTACGATGTACAGCTCTATAGGAAGTAGTTTAAATAGAGCAGAGCCCTTCAGCGAGGCCTTTCCACCAGCTGCTCGGGTGCAGCGCGCGTCCCTCAACGTCTCCGCGACAACGAACGCACTGAGCCACCAACACCAGCGAGAGCCCACGCATGCACGCGCACATGCACACACCAGCATTTAAGCGCCAACCTGAAAAGAAAGAGGCGCTCTTGATGAGGCGCAGAGGGCCCTGTTCAGAGAAGGCCCGCCTCGGGCTGCACAGCTGAGAAAGTCCTGCGCAGCACAAACACAAAACACGTAGAGGAAGAAAAAAAAAAATAGGGAGGAAGAGAGAAACATAAACATGAACCGTGGTTAGTGAATGAGGAAGGAGGAAAGACGGCCAGCTCCTGCTGCCGGACCACCTCGTAGCAAACGACTGGCTTACAAGAGCTTTTTAGTCTAGAATATATATGACGTCATCGCTCACAGAAAACACAGCTCATCCAAACCAACATGAAAGGACAGATTTGACTTCTGAGGGGAGCAGGTTGATCTTTTGAGGCGTCACAGACTGATCTCACTACACGGTGGTGCTGCTGCTCGTTTGACTGTTTAATCAGCAGAGAACGCGAGGCCAGTTGGAACTTCTGGGTCCACGCAGCCTGGTTTGTGTTCAACCAGAGATGTTCAAGAGTCAGAAAGCGAGACACCAATTATTCCTCACACTTGTACTAAAAACTCAAGGAAATACAAGTTAGACTTTTTAGAGGTTTTCAGCTGTAAACAGACGGGTGGGTCTTGATTTTCCTTGGTAGCCGAGGCTACGTCAGCCTTACACATGTTGTTTCTATGGTTACCTATGTTCCCCAGGTGGCTGTTGGGTCCTGTGTTCTGATCGGGTCTTAAGGCGTTGCCGTCCTGTCCGATGAACTCGAGGCTGTCCTGTAACCTGCAGAAGAACGATTCAAAAATATATGCATGAGAACATTGTGTTGACCTAGATCCAGAGAGACACAAAGACACTGGGGCAGAGACAGTATCCCTGGTGGACAAAACCCGGGGGAATAGAAACGGGCAAAGACAGATGCAGAAGGTGAGAGAGAAGAGTCAGAGCGGGAAGTGCGTGCTGATAAGCGTGTGCGTGCGTGCTTACGTGTTGAGGCTGCCGTACACGCTGCTCCCCGTCCTGGCAGTGAAGACCTTACTCAGCATCAGCTGAGGAGGCGATCTGAGACGGGGATAAATAACGTGCATCAGCTCATGTGCACATCTTGTGCTTCGTTCTGGGACTCGCGCTTAAACAAAAACACTAGATCCCACGAAGTGAAATCTACTTCTGCGCGTTTGTCTTCGTACGCCAACAGCAGCCACTGAGGCGTCTTTATTGTGGTCACCTGATCTGGTGGATCTTTAGCGTGGAACCTTTGTAGCTCATAGCCACCGAGCCGAACATCATCTCCCCCAACATCCCCACGTCGGACGAACACCTCGAACCCTGTTGACGAGAAGGGGAGGAGCCAAGTGTTTGCAGGTGGCTCCCAATACGGAGAACGCCGTCACTATCTAGCAGCCTTACCTGGAAGCGGATGCCCTGCTCCTTGGTCTCCTTGGTCTCGGAGGTGCAGGAGGAGGAGCTGTCCAGGGAACTGCTGCTGCCTCCAGTGGGACGCAGCTGGCAGCACCTCCCGAACATTTTTGCCTGGCCTTCATTGCTCTACGGGGGATACAGATGAGTATTACAGGACAAATACCGCAAACACAAGCTTACGTCACATTACATCACATCGCACTTGGATTTCCTAACAACAGGTGGAGTAAAACCACCTCCATCCAGTGGTTTCCTTTCAAATACAGCAACGCCTACAAGCCCTTTTGACAGTAAACCATCAGGAGATCAATGAGATTGTGCGTATGAACTCACCAGGCAGATGCAGACACGAATGTGTTTAGTATTAAAAAGTCGAGTGGCTTTTCATGTGGGAGACTGAAAGTCCAGAGGAACGTACGTCATGTGACCTTCTTAACTTGGCAGCCTTTTTAACGGGAATGCATTTGGGAGGGTGAGGAGCAGAGAGGGAGGGCGTGTGTTTGTGTGTGTGTGTTTTAACTAGCCTGTGCTACTAGCTAACTTTAAACCACGTAGGGGAGGAAGAGAAATGAGGGGAGACAAAGAGAAACAGAACGCGATGAGGAGACACATTTATCCTTTACGCTTCATCGTGGTTCACTTGTGTGACTTGTTATGTTCCTATTTTATCATTGAGGCGTGCAAAACACACACAAATTCTGAGCGAGAATGTATTCAAGTGTGTACTTGTGTGTGTGTTTGTGTGTGAGGTGTGTACACACAGGCCAGCAGCATGTGACTGCCAGTCATATGACTGTCTGGAACTCGTGAGCGAGCAGCACTGCAATCATTCCTCCTCCCTCCCTCCCTCCCTCCCCCGCTGCTGCTGCTCTGACTTCATCCCTTTAACTCCTGCAGCTTTCGCTCTTCCTTTGAACACTTTTCTCGCTTTCCAGGACCCGTTTTAATCTCCCCCTGTCCGTGCAGTCCTGCTTTCTGACCCGCAGACCCGTCGCTTGTTCCTGCTGTTGGAAAACACGCACATGCACACATGCACATGCACACACACACACACACACACACACATTGCGCAATCACGTTTTTAATGACAGGGCGTCACGAGACAGCAGGAACGTGCGTCCGCGGTGGCGACATCGTGGATGCGATGGAGAGGTGAAGGTGCAGAGGCCATAAATGAATAAAAAGCGTGCGGATGAGACGGAGGCTTTAAAGGATGAGAGAAAGGAGACGGAGGGACACGGACGTGTAGTGACACGGTGAAGAAAGTCACTCGGAGGACCGGTCGAGTGCTGCAGGTAGAAGCACAGAGAAACGAACATGGAGGCAGAGGTGGTTTCACGGAAAAGGGTTGAGTGGTTTTTAGAGAAACGGGTAAACGTCAGGATAACAGCAGACAGGTAAACATAAAGAAATGATTTATGATGACAGACCATCAGATAACCAGATGCTTTCAGAGAATTAGGGGACAGAAATGTGGACAATAAAGAGACAGAATTAAGAGAAAGCTGATCACGTGAGGGTGAAAGAACGCTGCGGCTATTTATCACTGCAGATAAGAGCTGCAGAACAAACCGGTCGGTCGGACAGAAACACGCAGCGGCGTTGAAAATATTCAAGCTGGTATTAAAAATAACGATAGTAAAAGCCAGGTGGCCGTGAGCAAAGAGGTTTGAACTTAGAGGGTGTTGCTGCACACACACCCTGATAAAGAGATAAAACCTGCCTTCGGGACGCCTGTGGTCATAGCAACACAAGGCAGAAATCACAAGCCTTTACAACGTAATGGAAAACGTCAGTGATAATGAGCATTCATTCTCTTTTTTTTTTGACTAAGCTTCTAACGGTGAAATATTTTAATTTAAATTGTAATCGCAAAAGTAGTTCTGTTTCTCACTAAAGCCCTGTGACATGAAAGAAAGAAAGACACGAAGGGAATAAACAGAACAAGAGGAACGCACGTCCAAACAGGCAGTCATGTGACCTCTGCTGCACGAGGCCACACCTCGGCCCTCCGACGCGTCCTCTAATCGTCTGCGAGCTACAAGAGGCCAAAACGCCACAGCGGCTTCTAGAATGCTGGATTCCTCACGTCTCAATTTGACCTGCAGCTACTCTGCTGCATCGGTTGACCCCCGACCCCCGTTCATCAGCTTCTACAGCCGTGAGCGCGGCCTCCATGGGACGACGACACACACACTCTCACACACACACACTCACGGTGATGGGCGTTTCCTCCGCGGTCCTCTTTTTGGCGCTGGAGTCGAAGAGGACGTTCCTGCCGCGCCGCTCACAGTCCTGGTAGACGATCAGCCGGATCTGACTGGGCTCCAGCTGGGGGATCGGCCAGCTAGTTGGACAGAGGTGGAAGTCGTGAGGAAATAATGCGATTAGTACAAATCGAGTGAATTAAGGCCGCGGGGCTTCGCTAGATGAGCCACAGTGAATGACGGCGAGGAAACGTCTCACATTCTCTGACGCTTTTCTCATGGTGCTTCTGGCACGTTGGAGACAATGAGCTCCGGTAATAAAACACCGGTGACACAACGGTTAATAGGATTCCAACAGGAGGAGGTGATGACGGAGTAAGAAACGTTTTATTGTGCAGCAGTAGTCTCCCCTTTCTTCCAGCTGTCCGTTCCACCGGAGCCTCGGCTGCGCTCCAAGCCGGGGGGGGTAGACATGATGTACAAGCTTTACATAAATCTGTTTAAGCCCTGCTCCCTGCCAGTGGTCACACTCAAGCCCACCCCCCCATAGCTACCATTCGTCCATCTCATTTCTAAAATCAGTGGAGGACCAGGATGGAGCCCCCCCCCCACACCAGATCTACAAACGAGCCGGGACAACCAGCAGCCCGCGGATCCGTGACCCAGCAAGGGGGGCGGGGGGGTCGTCCCCCTGTTCTAATGGTAGGGGAAACCGTGTTATCTGGGGGGGGGGTTTAAAGCCGTATTGGTGAAATTGGGGTGTTTGTGTGTTTAAACCGATGCAGACCAACAGTTGTAGTTAAGATGACTCCACCGGCTCCATGGCGGTTGCTAAGTAACCGGCCCTTTCATTCGGCTCAATCATCTCAGGTAATGCCGAGAAGGGACGTCGCTGCCCCTTTTAGGTGGGGGGGCGAGGGTTGATTTAGGAAGGCTGTACAGAGGAGGGGTCCGGCAGGTGGACACTGAGCTGGAGCTCAATATAGGCCTTACGTTTGGGGGGGCGAGGGGGCCGTCCCCTGACGCTAGTGCTTAGCGTGGAGGAACAGTTAAGTCCGCTTCCACCCAACGCAGCACACGAGCTCACGCATTTATGAGCCTCGACGGGGCAGGGAACACCTCGGGGCCGGGGGGGCGCTCTGTATACGTGAGGAGGTCTGTGTGTACACAGCACCAGCATGTGAGCTGCTATTTAGCAAACACAGGGGTCAGTATGGCCCCGGCATCCTTCGGGGGGGTAGGAGGCAGTGAGTCATGTGCAGCAGCCTGATGTTGTTTTAAGACGTCGACCCAGAAGTCTTCAGTCAGATGAAAAGCAATCAGACAAGAGGAACTCAGGGCATTTCTGCAGGGAAACATCTCCGACACTCGATCCTGCAGCTCGCTGCCAAACCAGTACGGACCGAAACGCGCCGTCAGAGTCCTAAACAAGGCATTGTGGGTATGCGACGGCTGATCGCAGCGGGTGCTCAATCACTTCACAAAGACAGCTTTACTTTTTCTCCTCCTGGTTTCTCAACTAAACTGGGAGACAAAATAAGCGGCCGGTTACATAATCGGCTCAAATTGCATCGCTTGAGGCGGAGTCAATATTCAGCTCATGGATTTGTCAGGCGGTCGCTTTGGTCACATGTCTCTTTGCAAATGGACGACTGACTTTCAAGAGATTTAGCTTGTTTTCTGCTTCTTCGATTGTGGAAAAATGAGGAATTATCAGAGGAATGATTTAACTTGGCAAGTATCATCAACTGGTAAGATGTCAGAGGATCAGGTTGACTGAGAATGGTGTTGTTTTCATCAGAGGAGATGGAATAATTTCACACCAACATCACTGGTTCCTTTGTTTTAAACGGAGACATGGAGAGAAAGATGCAAGCAAGACGGAATGAAAACAGGGGACAGAAAGCCAGAAAGACCACGATAAAAAGACAAGAGCCCTTTTGTGAGCAACAGAGGAGAAAAGGAAAAGTCCTTAAGAGGAATAGATGAATGAAACGAATTGAAAGTCGCTCAGACCAAAGAGAAACTCATGTGACTGGATGCAGAAGCAGAGCGAAAGAGGAAGCGTCCCAGTATCAGAGAGCGTGTGACAGTCATTCATAAAAGCAGCACATGACTTGATGACCGTTACATACTTGGACCACTTTGACCTCCAGTGGCTCAACCACAAGGTGCGCGTTTCCTTGTCCAACCTGTTGATCTTGTGCATTAATTAATGTGCACAATACGTCTCAGTGGTAACAGCTCTGTTTGGGTTCAAACTCAGAAATGATTCACTGTCAAGATCACAGATATGCAAAACCAAGTCTCTGAAAGACAACTCCACCCGAGCACGTGAACGCCACACGGTTTTACTTTTCTAATCGATAGGTAGCGCAAATTTAAAAAAAGAAATGTAATATTCTAGAAAACCTTATTGAAGAACTCTGATCTCAAAATGACAAAATCTCGCCACCTCAAACCGCAAACTTCATCCGGGTGAAACCAGCCCACTGGTCGCCCACGACAACACTTCAAAAAGAAAACAACCACCTTTGACCAACACTCAGATGCAAAGACGCCTGGTTAAATGGTACAGACTCCTACCTGGGCATCATCGCGACTCTGCCGGTCTTTCCCCAGCCTTCCTCCTCCCTCCCTCCCTCCCTCCCTCCCAGCAAAGCGGAGGGTCCAAGAATAGCAGTGAACTAAATTCACACAACAACATGAGACGGTCAGGTGATTGCAGGGGCGTGTGTGTGTGTGTGTGTGTGTGTTGGACGGGACAGAAGCGCAGCGAGGCTCGGACCGCCTGCTGCCACAAAGCGCCGCGATGAGAGTGACAGTGGGCTATTTGTTTGTGTTGTTTTTCTTATCCCGACTCTTTTCGCCCCGGTCTTCCCTCCCCGCTCATTTCTATTGTACATTCTTCAGTCGGTTAAAACAAATAAAAAGAGAAACATGTGCAACTTTGTCCTCTTAACACGGGAGAGGATCAGAACGCACGGCTGGTTGTAAACAGGGATATTCATTTCCATTAGCCATGTAAACAGCTCAGTCACCTCTATCAGAATACGGGCAGAAAAGCACAATGTCTTGTGCGCGTTAACAGTCCGGGACCAGCATCCCGATTTGCTGTTGGGCGGATTGCACACTGACAAAAAGGTCCCTTGAGTGCAGCGAGTCTGACATCACACTTCATACTGACCTCAAAAAGGTCCCTCGCTCGCTCTCCGCTGCAACTGGAACATCTGTGAGGCGCGTGTGTGTGAGCACACGTTACAGAAATATCCATGTGACGTTTCCTGTGGCCTCTCTGCTGCAGCGCCACAGCCATCATGAAACCGACTGTGACCTCACACCAATCACGTGCATTGATGCGCCGCGCAGATTTCATACAGAATCACATGGATCATGCAGCATTTGACCCGACGGGCTCTTTCTGGGTTTGACTCAAGGTTGCGCTGCCAAACTGATACCTCAACGGTTTCAAACTGATTACAAGGCGGATGCGTCTTCCACGGGCCTCCCAGCACCTTGACAAACGGTCATCACGAGCTAAATGTGTGCGTGTGTTTGTGTGTGAGAGTCCCAGCTCCTCTGCTGATAGCGAGCTGCAGAGCAGTTCCCCTTATCGGTCTCTAGTTTTATTGGAGCATCCTCTGCATGCACATTTGCAGAAACACGTGGGCGCGATAACGCTTCCCCAATCCGCTCGTCCGCTCGCCGACTTTAGCCTCCCGTGGAGCGATTGACTCGCTGTGGGGGAAAGTTAAGCCGCGGTAGAGCGACAGCGCCTTTGCTGCCGGAGAGGCCGAGTCTTAATCTCTACGGGGTGAAGCACAATAGTATAAAAGCGCTGCACTTCCTGGAGTAGGTTTGAGTAAACAGCGACTCCCCGAAGGAAGCGGCCCGCGAGCACCTGACTACCCGCTGGTTCCTCTGCTGGTTCACATGACCGCACAAAGACCAGAGGACACCCGTGTCACCGTGCTGGTTGATCCTGTCACAGCGTGACAACCGACTAAAACAAATGTCCATTACTAATGTTCAGTACCTTTCACAGTGATGGCAAGTACAGAAACAACAGCTGTTTTAGGGAAATAGAGGATGCGATTGTGTTGATATTTGCGTTCCTATTCTTTTTATTTTGATGCCACATTGTGACGTCGGTCCGTGTAGATTCCATGTGAATGCAGCATTATAAGTTTACTCCTATGAATGTGGTTTTATCCACATGCTATTTGAATGTTACTACAGCATGGTGTCTTGAAACAAGTAGTGCATTGTGGTTTGTGTAGTTTAGACTGTGTGTGTGTGTGTGTGAGAATGACTACGTGTGCACTGGAGGCCTGAGTCACAACTTGTTCTGAATCAGCATGATGACTTGTAATGACAACAATGTGCGTGACTGCGTCAGAGAATCACGTGGAGGAATCGTCAGACGGTATCGGGACAGAAGGTCGCAGGTATTTTTGTTCCTTTACGCCTTCCGTAAAGGTTAAAGGGGGAAAAGTGAGACATTCCCCTTTGCGGTCATTCAAATAGGTAATCACAAATAAAACTAGAAACTAAATAAAACTAATTAATTAATACGTGTGTATTTTAGACAGTTGTTTAATTGTTAATGTTATTTTAAACACAAAACTACACACATTTGATCATGGAGGCAGAAAAGTCTCCCTGTCGTCCTCGTGCCCTCTGCTCTCAACTCGCCATCATTTAACGTGTTTGAAGTGCCAACAATCCCACATTTAACAGGACGTATTCAATCCTCTGCAGACCGCGGCGGTCCTCTGCAGACTGTGTGCTGCGCATGTTGGGATGGAAGTAGTCTAGCTGCTAGCTTAGCCTAATCACATAGATTAATGCGCTTATGTTTACAGCCCTAAAAAATACATTTCCACAAGCTATATGAATACTGTGAAAATATCTCTACATGATCAACAGCTAAAAAGTGTCTTTGATATGAATGTCTTTTTACAAAGCGTAAATGAAGCAATGTTGAAATGTTATAATAATAGTGCACCAGGCCTCCACGCATTGGTGTAAATGACCCTTTGAACACCTGAATACAACAGAAGCCAAAGGCCTCTGAAATGTGGCCTGGAGACCAATGGAGGCCGAATGAAGGAGAAGATGTTGCACGTCACTCGTGCAGTAACAGTGTGCGCAGTCCGTCGCTTGTGTGTCGCTTTGCACGGTTCGTGAGGTCCAGCTGCCCGTCAGCATCAGGTGTCAGAAACTGGAGACTGATCACCAGCAAATATGTGATCACTGGGATTCTGGGAATTCTCTTATAAATATACAGCGTAACATTACACCTTTTTAGCAAGTATAAAAATGTAAATATGTTTAACTACGACAAACCAACCAATCCTCCAGAACAACCAACTACAAGCAGTCCTCAGACAAAGAACCTTCTAGTGAGTTGTGTTCCACCACAAAGAAGCACAGGGAAAGTATTAGATTGTGTGTTTAACAGATAAATACATTTCTTGGACACCAGCCAATAAAAACAAAAGCATAAAACGAACACATCAAGAAAAAGACAAACTAAGACCAATCCGTTGATTTAAAAAATGAAAACACAAATGTACTTGAGACGGCGTCGTGGTCGGTTCCTGATGGAGCAGGTGTCTCCTTACCCGACCACTCAAGGTGAAACAAGAAATGCTGCCGCCACAACGTGACGAGCAAAGCACGATGAAAAAAGGGCTCCGTTTAACGCTACTGCATTGATGGGTGTGTGTGTGTGTGTGTGTGCAGCTTTTTCTCAAAACTACATCTTTAAATCACAAACCTTCCGTTGCGAGAAGTGTGGTGACTTAAAATAACCCTGACAGGAACCTGATGACCGCCTCCTGTCTTTGTACATAAAATGAAGAAGAAGGAAGAAGCTCTACTTCATACAACACGCAGCCACGTGATCGTCTCTCACCCATGACAGCCGGCGATTGATGCAGGGCTCACATGACACACTGCAGTTATGAAAGTATGCATCGGAGGAAGGAGACGTGTGCTAATCAGGAACCCGAAACACCGTCAACGATCAACCCCGAAGAACCCTCGCTAGGAATAAATCAAATGAGGATTTTTTAGAGTTTCAACTCTTATTCCAGACTTATTTTCATTTATTTACCTTCAAATTGCCACGTGCACCCAGAAGCAGAACAGCTTTAGCTTGATACTAAAACAGCAACATTCAAATAGTTCTCTCCACTTTATTGAAATATTCTTTGTAAAAGTTAATCAGCATCCACTCATTTGTTTAAGAAGTGAGCGGGTATAAAAAGCCCCCCCATCCTTTCTCTTGCGTACACATGCCCTCTCCTCGTTTCTAACCCCAACAGCTATATTGGGTTGCACGGCGGGGTCAGAAAGGAAGCCTCCTCCACGGGCTTCAGCCAGGAAAAGCAGACTGGCTGTGCATGTGTGGAGGGGGGGGGGGTCACAGAGCTACTGGCTAACGCTCAGGCTTTCCGACGGGCTCGTAAATGTGCCAGGAGCTCCTCGTGTAACGTACGCTGCAGCCTGGTCAGGCGCTGCGGCGCGGGGGAACCGGAGAGGCCCGGTGAGGCCCGGTGAGGCTTCCCTCAGCAGGCGCTGACGCACCGTGCAAACACAGCGACGCCTTTTCAGGGCTCTTCTATTCACCGCTTGAGCAGCTACTTTAATCTCCAGAAAATGATATCTGCATGGTCGTACATCCTGTGTACAGGACAAGATGTTGGTATTGGCATTATTTACTATCTGTACTGAATCATAACACAACACACGGCACACAAAGGAGGAAGTCTTGGCCTCTGACATCCAGGGGCGACACCAGAAACCCAAAGATAGTGGGCATGAGCCCAGAGTCTGAATCACTTGAGCTGATGCAATAAAAATACAAAATCTCAACGCAACACAAAATTACTACGATCACTGCAAAGGCCTGCCGTTGTAAAATGTGTGTTTTCCTAATATTATCCTCACCAAATAGGAGACATCCCTGATTCAGTGTGTCCCGTTACAGACTATTCCTGCAATCATCTAAGCCTCCTCCTTAAGCACCTTTCTGTCTTTGTCTTCACAGCTCCACCAGAGATAATCATGCCTGAGAAATGAGCAGCTCGTGCCAGAGGGACGAAGAGCAGAGTTCACAGAAAGGCCTGCTGTCGGTCGCACACACACACACACACACACACCTTTATAGCCATGGAACGTGTGCACGGGCCAAGGTGCAACACGAGGAGCTTCTTAGGAAAATAAATCACACGTTCCCCTTTATGGCGGATCTGGACCAAGATGGGGAGGCAGGAACCAACACTGGGAAGCTTCAGATCAAAAGTATGCAGAGTATCCAACTACTCCGCTCCACGTCAGATCCAATGCCGTGAGCAGGTTGTACAGCGACTTTACGTGCATACCTCCTCTGCATGGACGTACTTTATTTAACAATTATCCTCTTGTTCTAAACAAAAAGAGTATGCTACTGACGAGTCAGAATCATTATTGATAAAGTACGTTGGACATACAAGGAATTTGTCATGTCAATTAAAACTTGCTATATTCATTTATCATCCATAATGACTCCCAACATCACTGACAACACAATCCTGTAGATACTCGCTCTACAACGTCAGGAGAACACGTCTCCTTCTCACTCAGAAGGCGGCGCAGGTACTGATTCAGGCTCTTGTCGTCTCCCTCCTGCAGGTCTCCTGCTACCTCCATTCCACCTCTGCAGCTCATCCAGAACGCAGCAGCGCCACTGGTCTTTAACCTTCCTAAGTTCTCCCACACTCCTCTGCTGGCTGCCTGCATCCAGTTCTAAACACTGGTGCTCACGTACCGTGCTGTGAATGGATGGGGTCAAGTTTACATCCAGGACCTGGTCCAACCCGACATCCCGACCCGCACTCTCCGCTCTGCATGTGATAAACTGCTTGTTCCTCCTCACTGAGAGCAAAACACTCGACTAGATCTCCACTCTTTGCTGTCCTGCTCCTAAATGGAGGAAGGAGGTCTCTGAAGACACCAGGACCACAGAGAACCTTCACATCTTCAGACTGAAGACACACCTCAACCTCTTCATGGTTTAATGCAATTGTAAGTCGCTTTGGATAAAAGCATCAGCCAAATGACATGTAATATAATATATTATTTAGTGGCTGTAGGTGTACACCTACGAGTATTCTATACCAGCTGTGTACTACACAATCACATGTCCCGTCGTCGCCGTGTCCTCCGCTGGCACCGGGCGAGGAGCGCAGTACCGCCGCAGACGGCGGGCCGGTGTAACGGTTAAACGGGGCCGACGCCGACCGCGGCCGCGGGCTGCACTGCCGTTGCCGGAGCGACGCAAGAGGGGAGACACGGGGAGCTGAAAGCGGGGGGGCAAAGGGGGACGCGAGGACGCGGCTGCATCGACTTCTGCGCGGCGGCACCGATTAGCCGGTTGCGCCGCAGCACAGGAAGCGCGCCCCCGCGGCCGATTTGTTAACGTGTTGTGTTCCGACGGCGCCCGAGCGCAGACGAGCGCGCGCGAGCGAGCCGAGCCGAGCAGAGCCGAGCGCGGGGACAACGGCGGCGAGCGCGTGCGGCGTTTGTTGGGCTAGCGTTAGCATGCTAGCTAACCACGGTTGCGCTGGATCGATTTCGAAGGAACGAAACTACGCGGCGTCGATGTGTCGGGTCCCTGCAGGTTGACTATTCAAATGAAACACAGGTGCCACGCTGCTGCACGCCACAGCGCGAGACTTAGACTGCGCTGGACACACAAACAAACAACAGCAGCTACCTGAAAGCTGGGTCCTCTTTGCTGCATCGCGGCAGCGGACACGAAAATGCATTCCTCTTGTTGAAAAGTTTTTGGAAGAGAGTCGGAGGCATTTTGTACCCCAAAAAAAGAATAATTCGGTTCAGAGGATCTCTTCTGTCCTTTTTTTCAAGTCTGAGAGCAAATCTTGCTCCTTGTAACCGTCTCCATGAGTGTCACAGTCATATGACAGGCGTTCGTCACGGGGAGCTGCTTGGTAACCCACTACTTCATTCTGATTGGCTGCGCGGACGCCGCTTAAAAATACCCGATTGGCTGGTTATTTTCGGCCTCGGTACCACGTGGTGGCTAGATGTTTTTTTTTTTTTTTTTTGCTGTGTTGATGTTTTGTTGGGAATCGTGACAGCATGAGATTTTTCACACAAGTTAACGCTGCGGAGACTCTTTGACCCGCATGAAAAAAGTGTAAAACAAACAACGAAAGGTATCAAATAATTCTTGTTTATTTATTTCTCCAGCATTCATTTAGTTGGGACATTTTTGATGATCTTTAGAAGTGTTTAAAGGCACATAGCTGATTAAAAAAAAAGACAACCAGAGAAATTAATGTTCAACCCGCTTTCTCACATTGAGTATTTAGATTTAGATTCATTTAAAGTATTGACACGTGGAGATTATGCCGAAAGAGTAAATGCAAACGCTGATCCAACATCGTACAACATATATATTTTTCACAGTAAAATTGAGAAAAAACTAAAGCAATCACTGTCAGGCGCTGAGAGAGAGAAGATGGCTGAAGAAGGACATCTAGTGGTCGTTTTACACCAGACACTTGTTTTTACTAATAAAATAAAAAAAGAAAGCTTGTGTGCTGTTTCATTAAACCAGACATGCATCCGCAACAGTTTCAGCCTCCGTGTGGAAAAAAATAAGGGCAAGTTGAGAAGCAGCGCGTGGCTCATCTCTATGAAATACTCTCTTCAAATACAAGTACAAATTCACATTTTCCCTGAGGTGCACACAGAACATTCGTTTATAGAATACCTCCTATTTTTTTCATGTAGATAATGGGAAAGAAAGAAATAAACCCTACTCCTTACACACAAGACTTCTGGCCTCAGGTGTCACATACTGGGGGCCTCCGTCCATTCGAGGGCCGTGAGGGGAAACAGCGGAGCACGTCTTAGCTCCTCACACCTCGTCCTCAGCCCCTCAAAGAAGGCGTTCCTGTCGGCGGCGTCCTTGAAGTCAAAGAACGTGGCGTCGGACGCCGGTCGCTCTGCGTCTTCTCGGGCGCTCAGTTTTGGCTCGGGGGCCTCAGCCGTCACGGGGACCTTGAATGAGACCTTCTTCTTGTACATGATGGGCCTTCTGCTGGTGGGCCCAGGGAGCAGAATTCTGTCTCCAATGTCGTCCATGGCGTCTTCACGGGATGGACAGACGGGTGACTCTCCTGCTTTTGGAGGGGTTTTCCACTCTGCAGAATGAACAAACAAACAACATTATTACTTTAGTATTTGGTCCATTGCAGAGTTTAGTTTACGGATCTCTACCTGATTTAAATGGGTCTGCGTGTATGTTGCTCTCTGCATCAGGTTCTCTGCTTTTGCTCCAAAGAGAAAAGACGTTAATCGATCAGCTTTTTGGGAAAATGATTCTTCTAAATAATGCATGTCAAGGGATTTCCCAAAAAAACGGACAAACTCACTTGATCTCACCGTTCTTTTCAGCTTGAATCGTAGAGGTTCCTATAGACACAAGTTTAGTTTTTCAGACCACCAAGATACATTCTTTCTCTTTTAAAAATAACTATTTTTCTGTTCTATATAAATACTTATATGATTATAACCTGTTTTTATTATATGTGCTTCTCAGTTGTAGTAAAGTAAACAAGTAAAAGTGAATGAGAGTTGTACTGGCTCATGCTATTACCGAGGATGTGGGAGAGGTTGGGGGAGTGATGCATGCGGATGCTCTCAGCATGGCTCACATCCAGCAGGGTGGAGTTTTTTACGTGAAGATGGAGACCCAGCAGCTCCTCCTTAAAGGACCTCATCGCTTCTGCTGAGTAGAGAAGAGGAGACTTTTAAAGACCCACAATAGAGTGACTTTATATTATGCAGAGGTGTCAAGTAACGAAGTACAAATACTTTGTTACTGTACTTAAGTAGAAATTTTGGGTATCTATAATTTACTGGGGTATTTATTTTTCAGACGACTTTTTACTTCTACTCTTTACATTTTCACGCAAATATCTGTACTTTCTACTCCTTACATTTTAAAAACAGCCTTGTTACTTCCGGCTTCTCCAGATAAATGTCGCTGTGCGGACAGTGAATGTGATTGTGGTTGGATGAGAAGATAAACATTTAGTTTTCTCCGCGATGCGCCGGCAGATCGGAGCGACACCGGGTGGGAAAAGTGGTCTTTGGAAAGTTGGTATTTAGCGACACGGAGCCTCCTCCTCTTCCTCCTCCTCTTCCTCACGCAGAGTCCATGTAACGTTAGATGAGCATCTTCATGACTGTGGGTTTGTCCTAAAGGTTTTATTGAGAGTCTGGCAAACAGCGACTTGCAAGCAGCGTATTAAATAAAGTGAAGCCTGAACATTCTGGTTATTTGACCGATGTTTTGATAACCGACCGCTGCCAGTTCAGTGTTTCCCATCATTATAAAGAGGTTTTACTTAAGTAAAAAGCTTGAGTTGAGTCTTTTTAAACCCTAGTATCTGTACTTCTACTTGAGTAATGAATGTGAATACTTTTGACACCTCACATATCATGTTTGTGAATGAATTGTGAGGAGCACACACCACAGCCGCCTGCTCTCAGGAGCTCTGGGGAGGGAAGACTGCTGCTGGGGGTTACAGACAACTCTTCCTCCTCCTCCTCCTCATCACAGCTGACCGTTGGGTCCGACTCCGTCCCAGACGATGTGATGCTTCCCAGAGTCACTGTCGGGTTTGGCGGGGTCATGTGACCCGGTTCAGAGGCCTCGGGGGTCCTCTGGAGACCTGCAGGTGAGTCTGGCTGTGCGGATGTTTGAGGAGCTCTGAGGGCTTCGTCTTCGAGCTTCTGCCGAATCGACCTGGAGGGGACGAGCTTGATGCTCGCCTGTGAGTTCAAACGGTGAAGCCCGGGGAAGTGAGGGGGGAGAGAGAGGGAGAGAGCAAAACTCTCAGCAAACTTAAAATGTGGCTGTATTATTATTTCAACAACAACCAAGAGAATAGTCATAGTTTGTATAAATATCTCCCTACTCGTCATAATACTCACAACCTCTGGAAGGTCCATCTCCTCCATCTCGGGCTCCTCTGGAAGTGTTTCATAACGCTGCTGGTGCACAAGTCTCCTGCTCCCTGAAAGCAGGTCACACAGCACGGATGTTTCTTTGGTTCCTGTATTGTTTGGTTGGTGAACTAAATGTAAATCTAGTTTTAGTCTTTTAGTGTATTTTACGTCGTCACCTGTACATGTAAAGTGTGCGTGCGCGTGTGTCCGTCTCTTACTGACTCGCGTGCCCAGCGGGGCTTTCACCGGGGTGTCCCGTTGCCCGTGGCCCCCCCCGCCGCGCTTCCCCCGGTACCGGCGCGGACCCATTTCCGGGTTAAACGCGGTCGATGATGAGTTTGTAGGAAACGAGCCGCTGGCCGCTGAACGCCGGAGGAGCTGCTGCCAACGAGGCGACCTGTGCGACGCCGAGAGAGCTGCTTAGCAACCGGGCAGACCGGAAGAGCCGATCAGCTGGCGCGATGCGCGGGTCTTTTACTTTGAAAGTCTTCAAAGGGGAAACAGTTTTTATTTATTTTTACTTCCGCCATTGAGTTTAAAAACTCATAACTCAAAATAATGACTTACTATCTCGGTAAGTAATAGTTAATTATTAATAGTTAATTATTAATTAACTATTAATAATAGTTAATTAGTCAATAAATGGTGACTTATTATAGTGATTGGAGGCCAGTTACATTTGTAAGACAATGTGAGAGAGGAAATGCCCATCCCAAATCAATTAGGCCTTTAAAGTAAATTAAATTATTATTTGATTTTATAATTGTTGATTATTGATTATTTGGCTCTCTGGATCCACGCTGGACTACAAACTTAGCAATCGGCCAAGTTAATTATAATAAAGAGAACTTTTTAATCACTCTACTCCTCCCCATCAGTTGAAGGCTACATTCTTCACACCTGTGATGGAAACCACTTGCTAGCACCTCCTGGGAAACAAAATAAACAAAATAAAAATAAAACCAGAATGCAGCTACAACAGCATTAAAAACACTGAAAAAAGAGCTGAGACACTCGTTTAAAATCATTCCAGAATATCTTTTATTTCATTGCCCCGTGTGCGATTCCCCACCCTCCCTCGTCCCTATTGCTGCACCCAATCATTACAAGGATACGGTGCTGATTCCATTTTACAGCAGAATAGATAAATAAATAGGTACAATTCATCTCACTACACGCAATAAGAGAGAGGAAAAAAATCATTCAAACCATTGATTTAATAAATATGCTTACATCTAGCTGTCCTCGTTTATGTACATCCACATTGTTTATGCTTTGGGACGGTAATCAACTTAAAAGCCTATACATTACTTCTACGTGTAAACCCTCCAAAAAAGTGTTGACCTACGTTCCTCCGGGGAGTGGAACCCATGGGCTTTGCCTACGTCACAAAGCCTTGCACTAGCAGAGGTGGCTGTGGGCAGCTGCATACAACCTGCTATAGTAATGGCCACAAAGAAACATCTGCTTTCCAAGTTAAATGCTAACGGTGCTAGCATCGCAGGGCAAACCGCATGCATTGCCCTGAGCCCTGGTATGGATCAGCTTTTTTTTTTTAATTCTTTTTAAAATGTCTTTCACCTGACGTACTATTTGTGCAGAGACGGATGAAAAGAAAGGTGCGATTGAGCCGACCGCAGAGTGCCAACCCTGGCGGTCGTCACAGTCCGTCACTTCAAGCGAGGAGCATGCGACGCTAAGCCGCCGAGAGGCGCGCCAACACGTGGCGTTGAACTCGTGTGAAAGCGTGGGTTTTGAGACAGCGGCGGTTACGTCAGGCGGGAGCTGCTGCTCTCTCCGTCTTGTCATCTCAACTGTGACCGCGGACACGGCGGCGGCGGCGGCGGCGTGGCTTGGGGTCAAACTGCACGACGTCTGGGGTGGAAGGTGTGCGCTTTGTTGTGTTGGGTGCATCAGGCCCCGATGCTTGTTCGATTAAAAGGGTGAAGTCCATTATTCCGTCCCACAAGGTTAGTTAGGCAAGACACCTCCTGCGCTTACACAAAGACATCACTCTTGCTGTCGCACAAATGTGGATTAAGGTTTTGTTTGGCTGGTGGGTTTAAACAGAAGAAGAAGTGCAGGAGGATTGTTCAACGTAAAGGTGCTGCTGGGGACGGAGCATGTGATGGTGTGTTTGGGTGGAGAGCAGGAATGGATTTAAGTCAGATTTAAAAGGGTTAAAGCTACTACGAGGAACTTCTAGTCCGTGTTGATTTTAGGGACCCTGTAGATGTTTCCTTGAGTCCCTTCAGAAAACCTCTCGTCTTACGGAGGTCTGACACTCTGACCCCTCAGGCCTGGTCCTTGTTCTCCTGGGCCTCCATTCCCTCCGGCGGGTTCAGCAGTACGTCCTGGGTCTCCAGAGAGGAGAAGCTCTGCACCTGGAGGAGGAAGAGGAGGAGGAGGAGGAGACGCTGCCGTTTTTTGCCAGGAGCTGAGCTGCCTTCCCCCCTCCGGAGCTCCTCCTCTCAGGTCCAAGGCTGCGGTGCCAGATCTGGGTCTGCCCCCGGTGGACTGGTCTCTGCTGGAGTTCTGGTGAACCTGCACGACGTCCTCTGGTTTCACCAGTTTGACCCGGTGGCACCGATGACATCATCAAGAAGAACTCTTGCAGAAACAGACCATCTCCTCTCTGGTGGTCTGGTTTACTGGTGGAGGTCTACAGAGGATCAGGACTAAACTGAGACTGGTTCAGGACCAGTTAGAAGTTCCCTACAGTAGCTTTAAATTGAACAAATCAAACTAAGAGATAAAGTGAAATACACCTTGTTAAACTTGTTAATGGAGTTGACACTGAAACGCCTGTTCCTTGATTTGTTCTTCATGCGGCATCATGGAACATCGTGTCAATCCCGACAAACAGGCTCAACCATTTCCTTTTGAACATATGCACAGAGAAGGCATACATACAAAAGCAAACGCACATTAGAATGTGTGTCGAATTCCACTTTATTCCTTTGATTTGTTTTGATCCGGGCGTCTTAAATCTCCCGTAGCGGGACAGGGTCTGGCTTGCGTTTCCAGGAGCAGGTAACGCCTCGGGTGTCGCGTCTTTGTCCCACCGCAGGCGAACAAAGAGGAGGTCGCCCGGCCTTCACATGGAGATGCTGTCGTAGAGCTGGTCGATCTTCTCCTTGAAGAACTCCTTCAGCTCGGGCCGCTTGGCCTTCAGCGTGGGAGTCAGGAGGCCGTTCAGGATGGAGAACATCTCGCTGTGGATGTAGATGTTCTTCACCTTTAAGAGTGGAAATGAATAGAAAAGGTTCTTAAAGGTCCTAGTGTTGCTTTGAGAGTTGTAGAACTTTAAGAATGAGCATTTAATATATGAATATATATATATATAGCACTAATGTGAATAACTATTTTCACTTGCTTTACTCCATTATAATGCAAGATATCATACAATGTTGCTTCAGGGACCATGAATACGCAACAATACATCAAAGACTTGAGTCGTATGTCTAGATCTACGGACGCAGGTGTATCTGCCCCTGTACCTGCTCAAACGAGTGGAGGCCGCTGGTTTTGCCCAGACGCACCAGATCTTCCAGGACGGCCTTCTTCAGTTCCTGTAGCCAACAGAAGAGCGTTATTCTTGCACACTTCTCCGGCGTCCGGCGACACTAACGGCGCTTTGAAGCCCCACCCACCGTGTTTTTACAGAGGTCCTTGTAGGTGCCGAAGATGCCTTTCTTCTTGGCCCACTCAGGCATGACTTCAGGGTCGGGGACCACGATGCCCACCAGACAGGACTGGAGAGAGTCGACGGCAACACAGGAGTCAAAGGATGGTCTGGTTAAGGACTGATGAGTAATACTGAAGGACGGGAGGGGGGGGGGGGGGGGGGGGCCCACTTTGAGTGTGGAGAACTTTCGGAGGGCGCGGGCTCGTACCTTCAGGCTGTCCCCGTGGACGTAGAGCTGCGCCACGGGCTCGCTCCTGATGTAGATGTTCTCGATCTTCTCGGGGGAGATGTACTCGCCCTGCGCCAGCTTGAAGATGTGCTTCTTCCTGTCGATGATCTTCAGCGTGCCAGTGTGCGTGACACAGAGGAACGAAACAACAACCGCCGCGTTACTCGCAGTGGTTCGTGAGCCCCGGGTGGTGCGCGGTGGTGTGTGGGGGGGTGCGGGTTGGGCACGTACGGGCAGCCATTTGCCGATGTCTCCGGTGTGAAGCCAGCCGGCCGCGTCCAGCGTCTCGGCCGTCCTCTCCGGGTCTTTGAGGTATCCCTTGAACACGTTCGGCCCCTTCACACAGACCTACGTGGGAGGTTAGGAAAGAGGAAAAGGGGTCGAAAGACGTTTGTGATGCCGTAAAGGCATCGAGATCGCACAACAACAAGGACTCTGCTCTCGTAGTTCCTCACCTCTCCCTCTCCCTTGGAGGCGAAGTAGTTCTTCTCAGGAACATCCACCAGTTTGATGAGGTTGCACGGCAGCGGGGCCCCCACGTGACCTGACCCGGGTCAGAACAAAACTGTCACAACTCAATCGCTCTCACCGTCTCATTGAACAAGCAGCTTCCGACAAAGAGACAATCCAAGTGTTCCTTTGAAAGCAAATGTGTGACGGGATCAGTTTGACCTGCACTCTGCACGTGGTGTCGGCGGCGCCCAGCAGGGGGCGATGCTGCACCACATGAGCCAAAATACTAAATATGAGGATAAGGATGAAACGATTCGCTGATTCACCTGATTGATTTCAAAATGTGCGATGCAACCGCCAATAACATTTTATTATTATTCATTATTATTATTTTTATATGTTTGTTTATGTGGCATTATGTGCTTATTCTAATTCATATTGATTATTATTATTTACGCTATTATCAATACAATCAATAATATCAACAGGCAACATTATGTCACATAAAATCTACTTCAGGTAACTTCCCAAACGGCTTTAAGTCTGTATAGTAGGTATATTATATAATATAGATTATATGTATAGTACAATTTATGTGTATTTGGACACGTGGAAAACATCCACACATCCCAAGAGACTGAACCGACGATGAGAACAACATCGCGGCTCCTCTTTTATTCACACTTGTTGATGTTTCTACAGACCCCCCCCTCACTGTCGCCCCCCCTCCCCTCCCACGCGTGTGATAATACGTTCCCTGGGAGTCGAGGTCTTAATGACAGACCGTGGGGGGGTTTCGGGGAGCAGACGTATCGAGTTTGCAGACTTTGACACCCACTGAATATCCTGCTGTGTGGGAGGCGTTTGGTGGAAGCAATAACTCTTCCCCTTTGGACCTTTGAAGGAGGCTCCAGTGGGTCAGTGACTGTCACTCACCTGGGGTCCAGTCTCCAGGTGTGGTGAAGGTGCAGCCAGCTGTGCACTCTGTCTGGCCGTACGCCTCATAAACCTACACACACGCACACACACGCACATGCACGCACACACACGGGAGGGGTTGTTTTTTGCCATTCTGCATTCACTGCACGCTGTTTTGCAGAACGTATGTACTTATCTAAGCCCCGCCCCCCACAGCTGCCAGACCTACATCGTCACCATGGAGACCAACCTGTCAGTAACTGCTCTCCCTCACATTATAGGAAAGCAGACAGGAGAAGCTAAAATATGTGTTGAAGAATATACTATACGAAGGATGAAAGGTGCGTTAACAAGAGAAGGCTTGTGGTTTGGTGACGGCAGAGAGAATTAAGCATGTGAATGATGTCCCTCAAGGAATAATATATGAGTACATTGAAACATCTGCGAGTGTGTGTGTCTGACCTGGCATCCCAGAGCTGCTCTGAGAAATCCCAGGACACTCGGCGAGGTCGGAGCCGCCCCCGTTACAATCATCCTGAGTCGTCCTCCGAGGCTGGCCTGTGGAGAGGGAGCGCCGAATCAATACAGACGGGTCCATTCAAAAATGATTTACAGTCGAGTAACTGTAACGGCAAAAATGCATGTAACCCTTCAAAATGTGTCATTGAAGGTCATAAGGTGCTGGGATGGTGTGGCCATGGAGAAGACTTGAGCTGCAGGGTCTCACGCTGAGAAGACGCCGGTCTCCTGTCTGTAGAGACAGCACGTGGGGTTTGGAGGCCACCTGAAGGTATCAGAGCTGCCCTGTCGCGGGGGAGGAAGAGGTTCTGTCTCAGTCGGGACTCTATGGCCGTCCGGGAAGGAGGCCTCGTCGGGGCCCACAAAGCGTGATTCTGCCCCAAACCTCAGACTCGGAGAGGGCGGTCCGGCGACCAAAAAGGGGCCTGACTGACTTCAACGCCATCCAACCGAGGAGGATTTTCACTCAAATTGGGTAAGAAGGTGACATTCTGATTCCAAACGAGATGCTCTGAATCGTAACGGGTGACGACAGATTACAGAGACGTGATTAACGATTGGATTCAGACAAATACTCTGAAATCGGATAATTGTGCCGTTGACCAAACAGGAAGCCGGGAACAATATTGTGTTTCACATAATAATAATAATGTGCATGTGAGGGGGAGACGGCGTCCATGCTGAGACCCGGCATGATAAGGGAAGTGAGACACGCATCAGAGCAGCAACAAGCTCTCATGGACAATCAACACACATATGCAAAGTTTCAGGAAAACAATTAGTAAATATGCAACACATTCTGTAAAACAACAAATGTATTTTCCAGGTCAGAAATTGAGTGGCAGACGTGTCTTCTCTTTTTCTCACATAATTGGTCCTTCGAGGCGGATCTCGTCCGTTTGGGATTAGTTTGGTTTTGTGAGGCCAGGATCCGCTTGACTTGGAGGAGAGTAACGAGATCCGCTTTACTAGCGAAACCGGACCGGTGTTTTCCTTTATTACGGGTGAGAAAGCTTTCGAACTCGCTGGTCTGTTTTGTTTTAATCGCCTCTAAACGCACCCGGCGCTACTGGAACGAACAGGAATCGGGAATTCCTGTTAGCCGTGAAAACAAAAGTGGGTTTCTATCAACCTGAAAATAGTTTAGGTAAAAGCGCTAATAGATAATATAGATATATATAATATAGAATGGGGTCACTCATTGGCAAGAAAGGGGAAGGATGAGCCCTTGGAAGGAGATGGGTGCTAAAATACTTCAAAAGATCAGGAGCGAGGAGGCAGTAAGAAGAGACGGTAAAAGAGTGAAATAATCCTCCTGATTTGGTTTTTAATTTTAAGAAGTGATATACGGCCTCCTCTGCATGTTTTTCCCCCTGTGCTCTCTCTGGCCGGCCTTCATCCACCCGTCACGTCCTCCTCCGCCTCCTCCGCCGCCATCACAACCCACAGCTCTGGTCCCACAGAGCACAAACACCTTCTGTCTGCACCAACGCTATGAGCCAGACCTTCAGCATCCAGCTGCAGGCCGGCTCCCACCGGACGGGACACAGTGACTGGTGAGCAACAAACACCAGGACGTTTGTACCAGCAGCTACAGTGCAGAGAATAGAAATACTCGATGCAATGATGACGTGTCTAAAACCTGTTTGTTCTTATGTGCAATCCTCAGACAAATAGAGACTGTGGACGGGGGGCTGTGGGGGGGACAAAGCGAGGGGAGCAGGGAGGAGGCCTCGGGATGGTGTTCGGGTGGAGGAGAAGGAGGTGTTGGATCCCTTTTCAACAGGTCACATACACACAAACACAAACACAAACACAAACACACAGCCATGATGGGGAACAGGAGAGAAATAAGAGTAAATGAACTTTAATAGAGAGGTAGAGGATTCCGGAAGCACACAAATCGGTTATTTTAACCTCAGGATTTAGTTAATAAATGGGTTTATTAATTGATAAAACGTCACTATTAGGGTGAGACTACAAACAAACACCACAGAAATCTGTCTGTAGACAGACAGACAGATGCAAAAACAGGTTTACAAAGGAGACACAATTGGTATTATTAAAGAATTGTTGAGTTAACCTGTTTTGTCAAAATGAATGAAAGCTGTTGGAATGAAGCATGAGTGACTGATTCAACTGATTCAACTCAACAAGCTATTACTGCAATTTTGGTCCAAGTATAAGACTTATAAATAATTAGTTACACAAAGGCTGAAGGGAATTTATCAAGTAACTACTCAATCTGTCTAAAAAAGCCCAAAAGGTTATTTCTCCTCTTTTGGAGTAACTCAAGCTAATTCAAGAACCCACACTGCATTTATCTGTGATATAATCATTATCCACTTTACTTAAAGCAGTTGGCATAATATTCTTATTTACCGATTGTCTACACAAAATCTTTAAGAGCCCTAAAAACTGCGTCCTCTGTAGTGACCAGCAGGGGGCGACTCCTCTGCTCCCATAGACGTCTATGAGGAAATGGCTCTACTTCTCTGTAGTGACCAGCAGGGGGCGACTCCTCTGCTCCCATAGACGTCTATGAGGAAATGACTCTACTTCTCTGTAGTGACCAGCAGGGGGCGACTCCTCTGCTCCCATAGACGTCTATGAGGAAATGACTCTACTTCTCTGTAGTGACCAGCAGGGGGCGACTCCTCTGCTCCCATAGACGTCTATGAGGAAATGACTCTACTTCTCTGTAGTGACCAGCAGGGGGCGACTCCTCTGCTCCCATAGACGTCTATGAGGAAATGACTCTACTTCTCTGTAGTGACCAGCAGGGGGCGACTCCTCTGCTCCCATAGACGTCTATGAGGAAATGACTCTACTTCTCTGTAGTGACCAGCAGGGGGCGACTCCTCTGCTCCCATAGACGTCTATGAGGAAATGACTCTACTTCTCTCTTGATTTATTCCCCTCAGTAAACATTGTAAACATGATTTTATGGTCTCAGCCTCTTGTTTCAAGTCCTTTATTAGATTACGGTAAAAAAAAAAAAAAAAAGCAGGGGCTGCTTTAGGGCGGGGCTTAATGTGATTGACACGTCTCCACCACAGTGTCTCGTCGCCCCTTTGATCCAAAGGTCGACGGTTGGATCTCCAAATGTACAATTTGTTCCTTTACGTAAAGCTTCTTTTCAGACCTTGCAGGTGATTAAACAAACAAATGGGTGAAACTCGTACCGACAGACCGATTCACATGTCGTCGGGGGGAGGAAACGTTTACCTGAATCTTACTGAAGAAGATTTTGTCCCAGACGCTGTCGCTGCGGATGATCCCGCTGCTGACCTCGGCGCCTTTTCTCCTGGCGGCGAAGTTGAGCAGCCAGCGCTTCAGGGGGGTGTTGGCCTGGCTGAAGATCTGCACGGGAAGACATTTATTCAGGTGAAATGCCCCAAAATGATCAGGGGGTCACTCAGAACCACAGCAGTATTCTGCTGTGAGGAAGCCACCTAGCGGTGACCCTGGAGTCCCTGGAGGCTGCAGTAAAGGGAAGTCTGAGGGAAATCTTCAGATGACCCGTTGCTGACTAGTAGTTTACAGCCACATGTGATCGCTGCAACACAACCGCGTGTCATAGCGGGCATTTCGTTTATGACCACAGAGAAACTTCTCCACCTTTTAACGACGTGACACTGAGGAAACCTCGCTGAGGCCGTGCCAGAGATACCGTGAGAACGAGACAGCGGGGAGGTCACACAGTTTACAGTAAATGCCTGTCCAGAGGTCTCTTGTCCTCCGGCTTCCTCGCTCCGCCTCCTCGCTCCGCCTCCTCTCACCTTGTCGTACATGCGGTTGAGCAGCCGCGGCACCCCGGGGAAGATGGTCGGCCCGCAGGCCCTTCATGTCGTCCGGGAGGAGACGGATGTCGCCCTGATAGAACCCGATCCGTCCCCCGTGGCAGTAGACCACCGACTGCACAAACACACACAGACGTCAAATTATCGATTGCCACATCATCGGTTTGGGGTTTTGTTCTTCGAGGGGGGGTTTCCTGAAGAGCCCGTGAGGAGCACTTGTGCCTCCTCCACCCGACACGTCGAGGCAGGACTTCTGCTTCTTGGCCAAGGAAGGGACTCATGATGGGGTGGGGTCGCACTGCTTCCTGCAAGCAGCGGCACGCAGGGGGGGGGGGGACCTGTCCCTGTGTGTGAGGTCAAAGTTCGGCCCTCTGCGATGCCTGTGATTGGGACACAGGTGTGTGTGTGTGTGCTCTCGTTCTGGGGAAGTTGGGTGATTTCCCGTATGCGAGTCTCACGCTGCAGCAACAGACCCGGCTGGTTGGACGTGATGCAACCCGATTAGCAACATAAAACACACTCAGAGAGCCGAGCTATTTATAACCTGATGGAAAAACAATCCGACGACTTCCAGGGAATCGAAAGGGTTCGGCAGGACTTTCCACAACCCCGACGTGGTAACGCTAAAAACTCGCCTGCAAAGGAATTTATTATATTTGCCGCTGCTGGGTTGAAGGGAATAATAAAGTCTGTAACGCCGGCGTTCGTGTTCTTAGAGCCTTTGGTTCTGCGTGAAAAGGGACACCGACCCAAACAACCAAGTTTCTGGTGTAAAATTTGATGTCACGTAAAAGACAGATTTCACCGATTCTCAGTTAGAAACCAGCTACTCTGTGGGGGGTCTCGATTGGGGGGGTTTCCTCAGGGCATAAGTGTGTGTGTGTGTCAGGATGGGAAATGATGCAACGTGCACATGCGCGCTGGTCATTCATTTCATCATCAGAGCTGGAAAGCGAAACTCAAGAAGGAGAGGGAAAGAGAGAAGCCGCCTCTCCCTCTGCCTCCCACACACAAAACAATGTTGGATTACCGCCCGCCTCGCAGCCACTTAGCTCCGCCCCCCCCCTCTGACATCACATAACGACCTCATTCCTCGGGGCCCATGGCAGCCGCCTTGTTTACCTCGATGAGCCTCTCGAACATGTGAGCCAGCGGCAGGAAGGAGATGAGACAGTCGTCTTTGTTGGGAAAAATGACTTTCTGCACGAGAGACAAAAGGAAAGAAAACAATCTCCATTAATCCAAAAGAATAAAAAATCCACCGTAACACTTTAAGCGTTCGAGTGTCAAGTGGAGACTCACGTCTGTCACTCTGAGGAAGCCCGAGAAATCTGCCACCACGTTGCCGTGAGTCAGCATCACTCCCTTTGGGTTCCCTGCAAGCAGAGAGCGCGCACACACACACACACACACACACACACACACACACACACACACACACACACACACACGGATGAAATCCTTCCGATTGCCACTCATGATTATTTTTCTTAAATCATCCGACTTTGAATCGTGTGACGTTCTGAAGTGACACAGTCACTGAGAGGCCATTTCTCCTGATGATGATGGAAACGAGGGGTTGTGTTGAAACGTTGCTGCACTGGAGGCCCGTGGGTGGAGACGCGTAGGTGGGTGTGGGGGAGGGGGGAGGAGGGGGAGGGGGGGGTGGGGTTTTGTCTCCCTTTGGTCTGCTTGTTGTGCGATAAGACCTCCCATAAAAATAATATAAGAGGCGAGGCGTCCTCCGGCTTTTGCAGACATGCGCCGTTGAAGGCGCTTATGTAACAATGAGAGGTCACGGGTTCATTCTGCTGCTGCTGAGGAACTGGGATAATTTACAGTAAACGTCTGTCCTCCTTTCTCGCCCCCTGAGAGGAGCAGTTGTTCCACTGAGGGGCCGGAATGTGGACTGATAATGATATGTATTGTGTATGTATTTATAATATACATACAAGAAACGTTTATAACGTGCATGTGTATGTTATATACATGCACATTATAAACCTTCTTTTCTTCTATATATATATATATATATATATATATATAATGTGCAGCACTCAGCAGCATTATGTCAGCTCTTATTCTCATCAGAGGCGATCGCAGCATGAAGTGCTTTATTCTGACATATTTCGGGTCACCGTAACAGATAATATGCACAACAATGTCATGGCGCGGGTTGTTTCTGTGTTTACTTTAGATAACAAGTCGCATTGCTGCTGGAAGTGACTGGAAGGGAAGATGCTTGTGTACTTTAGGCGGTTCGCTCGGGCCGACGTCATGGATGAAGACCTGGTTCCAGGTCTTCAGTAGTTGCCTCATTTCATTGGATCTACTTTGCTCTTTGCGACTTGGCTCGACATGTTTTGCACGCTGAGCATTAATGGAGACCGAGCCTGACGTAGCTTTTTCTTGTTGTAACGTGTGCACGCGCGGCTCTGCTGCTGCCAGCCGGACCGCTCTTCAGGTCCCAGTGATGACAGTGTGAGAGGGGGGGGGGGGGCGTTATTACCTGTGGTCCCACTGGTGAAACACACGATGGACAGGTCGTCCGGTGCTGGCGGCTGTGGAGACAAAAGGGCAGCAGTCAGAGACCAACCTGTACTCTGCAGTTTCCGTAAGCCGGCTCATTTAAAGTGGTGCTCAGCTGGTTAATGACCCAGTAGACGGAGGCTCTGGCTGAACTCATTAATCACCGGCCGAGCGTAAATGAAGCCATAAGATACCTTTGATTGTTTTGGACAAAGCAGCAACATTCGAAAAGCTTCCAGTAAAACAGCCGTTGTGTGTTTAATGCATCATTATGTTGCATTAGGTGTCAAGTGACTGTGACACCTTTGCTAAGTCCCGCCCCTCCAATGCAGGCGGGCCAGTTTGCTGCACAGCGCCTCTCCGCTGCTTACAGAGGAATGCGTACTTACTACAGGCGTTCTGCAGTGGTCCCTCCCCAGGGCCTGTGAGAGGAGAACAACAGAGCATGAGGGACGCCACCATGACGCCATCGGACACGTCGCCAGCGCGGCCTTGTGGCTGCGCGTCGATGGAAAGCAACGCAACGAATTTGTGAAGGATTCGACTTTGAGAGCATTTACAATGCGGCAACAGTCAGAGTGAACAACCCGTCGAAATGCACCTCCACTTCCTGCATGGCCTGCACCAGGACGCCGCAGCCCTCGCCGCGCCGCACGAGGTCGGACTCGAAGCCGTCCATCAGGATGATCCGTCGCAGGCCGGGCGTCTCCTTGCGCTCCACGTTGTCCAGGAGCACCTGGGCTTTGTCCACTTTGTCGCAGATGACCGTGGAGATGTCGGCTGAAACGACGCGAGGGCGTAAGAAACATCTGGATCCAATACAAATAAAACAGCCTTCATGTTGCTGAGTGTGTGTGTGTGTGTGTGTGTGTGTGTGTCCTCACCGGTGTTAATGATGAACCGGATGGCGTCGGGGCCCAGCGTGTCGTACAGCGGAACCACCACCATGGAGTAGGTGTAGCAGGCCAGCTCTGAGATGATCCACTGAAATCAGTCGGCAGGTCAAAGGTCAGCGCTTCATTAGTCTGAGAAACCGCAGCGGAGGGCTGAGAGAGAGCAGAGCGAGTCACCTCGGGCCGGTTCTGGGCGAACACCCCGATGAACTGGGAGGGGTCGGGCCGGCAGCCCTGATGCAGCAGGCCGGAGCCCAGGTACTCGGCGCGGGCCGTCACCTACGAGAGGGAGGGGGAGGCAAGCAGCTGATTGGACCGGGTGGAACCGGCGTTTGGGAGTTCGGCCATATTTAGTAACCGGAGACAACCGCCGTCGTGAACCATCTACTCGGCTTCAGCGTTCCTCTCTGGGCCACCGTCCGGCTTCAGGTCATTGTGAAAGACGCCAGAGGAAGCGGGATGGTTCTTCTGAGTGGGCCACGTTTCCACGGAAACCACCCGGTTCGGCTCGTCTGGGAATTTCAGCGCGATGGACGAAAGAAAGAAAACCTTGTTGCCGTCCTGCTCGGGGGCGTCTCAGGACGCGTCTCATTGCTGCGTGTTAATGTCTAAATGTGGTTCCCCTTAAAACATTTCACAACAAGACTGATTGCTCACTCAGAGCCGAGATGAAATTGAGTCAACGATTCCTTTATCATTTGATTCAGTATTCCGTAGTTCCAGTTTCTCGTTTCCTTTTCTTTCTTTTTTTTTGATGAAATGAATCACAGTAAGTTTGAAGAACAAAATAAGTCAATTATTATTGAGCAGAACTGTGGCACTCTAACCAGCGTGCTCTTGTTGAAGGATCCTCTTACGATACATGAGTCTAAAAGGAGCAAAGAGCTGACTGATGACGACAGCGTACGGACCTAACGAGGGCCAAGGACCCGCTTCTAATAACTGCACCCGCCCCCGGTGGCCCTCAGCGGATCGTCATGGCGATGCCGGGCCGGGTTGCCGGGCAGATTTTTGGTGCTCGAAAGCCTCCGTGGTGCTAAGATTGCAAACTACACCTGAGTGTCTCCTCAAATGAGCCGGAGGAGAGTTACAGCTCATCAGGATGATGATGATGATGATGATGATGCTGATGATGATGATGATGAGAGAGAAATACATTTCTAGTACGCCCTAAAACAATATCTGTTAATGTTTTATAACTGCAAAACATACAACAATGTTTGCAAGAATAGGATTAAAGTCTTTTTAAACTCTATTTGTCTGTGTGGTCGTTTCACAGTCGAGATGAACGGCATGAAGGTAAGAGGGCAAAATGTGTCACGGCTGTGAGGAGATGAGATGTCACTCACCTCTTTGTAGGAGATCCATTTGTACGGCTGGTCGGGGAGGCGGGAGCCCAGGCACGGCCCGTCCCCTGTGGGACACGCGGTGACACGTTAGAAGACAAGACGCGCATACGTCTCCTGGGTGAGAGCGAACGCGTGCAGCTGTCTGTCACGTTTTGACACACTTTGACCCTGATGGAATATTTACATGATCTAGTATAATAAGAATAGAGTGAAATGAGCGTCTCTCTGGGGACCAGGTGAGCTTTTTAGAAATATCCCCACATCGTGAGTCACCAGGTCACTTCGCCCCGACGCTGTTACCGTTAGCAACAGGGGCCGTCACCGTGGCAACCAGTGGATTGTTTTTTTTCATGCTCTCTAAAAGGAAAAGTGTACAGTGTGTGTGTGTGTGTGTGTGTACTCTTTTACAGTTACAGTTTTGCGATGGCAAAAGAAGCGCGACCATAAAATACTGAATAAAGAGTATTTCTGCATTCATAAGTGTGCATCGCATGTAAACCCTGCATCCCTTTAAGCCTTTGGTAGTTCTGTAAATTGATTGAATACATTTTTTCCGTCAGCAGCTCTGAAAACATTAGAATCTACATCTTCAGAGACGTTTGAATCGGTTGCATTCATATTCCTTCTGAACGTACATTTTTGGTGTCAAACGAATTCCACACGATCCTTTTGATCACATCTGTTTGTTGATCCTTCTCGTGGTCTCCGGTTTAATCCGTTCTATTTTAGTCCGTGTTATATGTTTTAACCCCTTGCTTCATAATCTCACATGCCGCCCCGTAGACACAAACATCTCTCCGTATCCACGAGGAAGAGTGTGAACATCTGTCTGCAGACGTGTGCGTGTGTTAATCATAGTGCTCACACTCCACCCACCAGATATGTGGAGGCCCCTCTGGAAGACCTCGTACATGGTCCTGGCGTCGTCGTGGTAATGACTCAGCAGCTTGGAGCTGTCGCCAATCATGGAGCGGCGACCTCCGTCCTCCTGCTGTGGCAAAGACGGGCAAACACCATTTACACAACGTTCTCTTCACTCTTACAATCAAAATGAATACCGGTGAACACGTCTCCTCTCTCCTGACCTGTGTCGGCTTATTGCAATATCTGTGCGCCTTTGCATGTGTGCGCTTCTCATTTGTTTGCAGCACACACAGGGCTGTGTGCGTGTGCGTGTGTGTGCGTGTGTGCGTGTGTGTGGGATGCGAATGAAGGTAAAACGCGGGTGGAATTGAGGACACGCTGCACCCGCAGCTTTTGTTGCATTTAATGATGTGAAAACAATCTCTTAAACACACGTAGCTGCGTTTTAATAGCGGCTAACAGTGTTTTCTGCTTTACTAGTGGTGTAGTTCATTATTAATACAAGTTACAAAATCCGCTTACAACCCAGATGACACAGGGGTATAAATGTGCTATCTTGTCAGGGAGAAGTTTTCTTTTAGCAAATGGACGTCGAGGTCAATGGGGAACAACAAAATACTCGTGTTGATGAAGTGTGTTGACGTGTGTTACACAATAAGGTCTTTGTACCTGAATTATTGCAAATGTAAACGGCAACAAACCCAAACTAAAATGTCGCCCACAAAAGCCTGACGCTTCCGTTTTTATTAGTCTGTGATCTTCCCCACGTTCCCCACCACATGAACTTTGACCTTCCTGCTCACGTGTCGGCCTCAATGAAGGTTGTGCCCGAGAATAATGCGGCCGGAGGCGGAAGGACGACCCGCTAATGTTTTCGCACGCTACCTCTTTAACTGGCATGATAAATATTATGGTCGCACCGTGAGGGCAAAACATGAAAACAGGGCGTCTTGCTCGGACGGGCTGTGCCGTGAGTCTTACCGGGACCTCCTCGGACTGGTGCAGCAGGGAGCAGGGGGCCTGGATGGGCCGCGGCCTGGTGGCCAACCAGTACGCCAGCACGGCGGTCAGAGCGCCGATGCCCACCAGCGTGGTGGTCGGCATGTAGCGGAAGAACTGCCCCTTGTCTTCTATGTCCTTTATTCTTCAGGCCGCTCATCATCTCCTGGGCCTGCATCTTCTCCATCAGGGTGGAACTCAGCTCTGGGGGCAACAGAGGGATCTCTTTTACTTCTGATGTGCAAATTCAGATTGGAAAATACATTTTGAAAAGTTAGCAGATTTAAACGGGGGTGAAAGTATTATTGGTATCTGTTGTGCTAAAAAATAAATAGATAAATACAGTTTACAGGTAATCGTGCTTGAAATAGTAACATTTTGTCCAGCAGGGGGCGACTCCTCTGCTCCCATAGACGTCTATGAGGAAATGACTCTACTTCTCTGTAGTGACCAGCAGGGGGCGACTCCTCTGCTCCCATAGACGTCTATGAGGAAATGACTCTACTTCTCTGCAGTGACCAGCAGGGGGCGACTCCTCTGCTCCCATAGACGTCTATGAGGAAATGACTCTACTTCTCTGTAGTGACCAGCAGGGGGCGACTCCTCTGCTCCCATAGACGTCTATGAGGAAATGACTCTACTTCTCTGTAGTGACCAGCAGGGGGCGACTCCTCTGCTCCCATAGACGTCTATGAGGAAATGACTCTACTTCTCTGTAGTGACCAGCAGGGGGCGACTCCTCTGCTCCCATAGACGTCTATGAGGAAATGACTCTACTTCTCTGTAGTGACCAGCAGGGGGCGACTCCTCTGCTCCCATAGACGTCTATGAGGAAATGACTCTACTTCTCTGTAGTGACCAGCAGGGGGCGACTCCTCTGCTCCCATAGACGTCTATGAGGAAATTACTCTACTTCTCTCTGGATTTATTCCCTCAGTAAACACTGTAAACATGAGTTTATGGACTCAGTCTCTAGTCTCAAGTCTTCTTCAACACATCATGATGTTCATTTAGTGAATGTTGGTCCATTTAGAGTCAAACATCGTCTTAGAACTAATTTTAAGGTAGCTTTAGTGCAAATAGTTTGACTTCTGGTTGCAAAAAGAAAGTGTCAAAGGTCAAAATTCTGAAACTGTCCCACATTTTATTACATCACATGTCATTTATCTGACGCTTTTATCCAAAGCAACAATAAGTCGACATAAGGAAACAAACTGCAAAGAACAAGAAACAAAAAAAAGTGCGATTTCATCAAATAAGCCTACAACTCGTTATAGATAAGAACCATTATAAGTCCAATGTAAGTGGTACAGTTAGTTAGTGTGTTAGTGGGGGTAGAGTCTGAAGAGGTGTGTCTTTAGTCTGAAGATGTGAAGGTTCTCTGTGGTCCTGATGTCTTCAGAGACCTCCTTCCACCATTTAGGAGCAGGACAGCAAAGAGTGGAGATCTAGTCGAGTGTTTTGCTCTCAGCGAGGAGGAACAAGCAGTTTATCACATGCAGAGCGGAGAGTGCGGGTCGGGATGTCTGGTTGGACCAGGTCCTGGATGTAAGCTGGACCCCATCCATTCACAGCACGGTACGTGAGCACCAGTGGTTAGAACTGGATGAAGAGAGCGGAGGAGTGGAGGAGTGTGGGAGAACTATTTCATGCTAGACGGGGCTTGAAATAAATATTTGGTGGAATAATTGTGATTTTCCATCATAACCTTTATGCATCTTGGCATGATCAAACAACACAATATTGATCAATAAACTCCGTATTAAGCACGGAGGCACATGGAAACATTTAGCCACCTACTTTCAAGTAGGACGAGCCACGACTTTTAATCACCCGAGTCCATCTCGTCTGATCAGTGCTTTGCGAGTGGGTTTCCGGGGGTCTCCCCCACATTCAGGCTTCTACTGTAAAATCAGCCCAGAGCAGATAACCCACGCTGCAGCACGGGGAAGGGGCGGGACTACAGAGCAGACACACACACACACACACACACACACACACACACACACACACACACCGTGAGATGCATGATTCATGTGAGGGGAGACTGGAGGCTGGAAAGTGAGTCAGAGACAGCACCACCCGGCCAACGGCGTGAAGGCCCGGCCGCAGCTCACAGCCAATCAGAATCACTTCCTGTCTGTCTCAGGACGGGAGCGCGGCCGCAGACACACACGCACGCGCAGACCGGTGCACGGCGAGGCCGATAGGTATAAATATCTGAGGCCGTGGGAACGCAGCTTTCTCAATCACTCCTTTTTCTTCACTTCTACTTTGCTAAAGGGAAGCTGCATCACGTGAACACGCTTCACACACGCTTCACACACACTTCGATGCACGACCAACCAAAAGAAAGCGCTCTTTCTTACCTCCCGGGGTCTAATGAGTTATTTGTAACTTTCCCTTCTTATTTGCACTTAAAACAAGATGTTGTCTCCAAACCGAAGCAGCTTTGTTGCATGAAGCTAACAAAGTGGTTTCCAGTGAAGAGAACATGTTCTATTAGGAAAGGAGAACCTCTAATATCTGCTTTTAAGATATTCAAACACCCCTTAAAGGACATATTCATCACATATGATCACTCATTATCTGTCATTACTTTGCACGAGTCCACTTGATTGTGTTCATATTTTGTGATCTGTGAAATCCTTCACAATAAAAGTCTCCCTTTATTTTGTCTGCTTTCTTTTCCTCCCTGCAGTAGTTTCAGACTTTTATGTTTTTGAAGAATCGGCGCCAACGCAGCTCAACTTCTACTTGCTGCTGCACTGACTCGAACCCTCTTAACTCAACGAAACTCGACCTTCAGTTCAGACAGAAAGCTGCGACTTCCTCGACCGGCCGTCTGATGTGTCGGAATCCAGTAAAGTGCCTTTAAACCCGCAAGACTTTCCACTTCTCTTTATTCTTTAGTGCCCTGAGCCGACGATTTCCTCTTTTCTCTCTTTATTGTCACCCCTCTCTGCCTGCAGTTCCAGTTCACCTTCTGGGGAGACGGTTCCCCCGCTGGGAAACGTCTGACGCGATAGCAAACAGTTAAAAAAACATGTCACAGTTCATTCTGGGAGGAAATGTCCAACTCTGCTGAGGCCCACTGAGCGCAGCTGGAGTCCGTCCCAAAGTTTGACTTAATCCCTGTAAAGACATCCGGCTGCGTGTGTTTGGAATGAACTGAGACAGAACAGCTGAACGGTGAAGTTATCAAATCGGTAAAAAAAGTTTTTACAAAATCATGATTTAAACTGGAAAGGTGTAATATTTTGTAAAGCTCATTCAATTTCTTTTTATGATTTAAAAGAGGCATTTGATCTATAACTTGATGCTTTAATATGGATCTGTTGTTGTTAGCTAGCTTAGCATACCGGCTATGCTAGTAGCTACACTTGCTCTGCTCAACACGCCTTCCTAGTGCCTCCGTCATTAACAGAGCCAACAGGTCAAATCCCAAAAGGATGAGCAACCAATGGGAGGCGATCACGTGACCCGGGGGACGTCCCGCCAGGCGAAACACGCTGAGTTGTGTGGTTGAATTATTGTTTTTTGTGCGGTGTGCCTCAGCGGGGGGGCGGGGGGGGGGGGGCTCATCCCTGTGGGTTACACACAATTCACAAAACCCCAGTTTTGGGGGCTTTCTTTTCAAAAAACTTTATTGATTCTTTTCTCTTTTGCACACTGGGGGTTTTCAGCCTGCTTCTTCCAACCGCATGGCGACTGCAGTGAGGCGGCGCCGCAGGTAGAACATAAACACCTTGATACAGCAGCCCGTTTGGGTTTGTGACGGCTAACTAAGAAGCTAACGGCTCGTAGCCTTCTCTCCCTCTCTGTCTCTCTCTCCCTCTCTGTCTCTGTCTGTCTCTGTCTCCCTCTCTGTCTCTGTCTGTCTCTCTGTCTCTCTCTCTTTCTGTCTCTCTGTCTAAAGATGGAGCAGGAAATGTTCGAGTGGGAGTCGTGTTGTAAACTGTAGTTTAGAAACCTTTTTTAACACATTTCTTCACTAACAACATGACTGACTCCGGGATCACTTTTTTAAAATGAAATGCCTCGCATTATTTAATAACCCAAAATATGAACAATTCTCTTCCTGTAGCTCGAGCTGATGGATTGAAAATTGGCGTGTTGCCTTGGTTACGCCATGCAGCCCTAATATATCTATAGATACATATATATATATATCTATACATATATATACATATATCTATACATATATATACACATATATATCGATACATATATATCTCTATATACGTGTATATATATCTATATATATATATATATAATCTATATACACACATTTGGACTTTTTTCCCCAACTCGGACGACCTCAGGTCAGGTGACGCTTTAAATCATTAAGGGAGGCGGTGCATTCAGGGCCCTAAAGGCCAGAAGCTGGATGAGTACGCAGCTCCCAAAGTCAGATAAATGACACGTTTAAGGTCTCTGGTCCTTCTTTTGAACAAGGCCCCTCAGCTTCAACATTCTCTCTACTACACACGATGACTTTGGTTTCCCTTAACCTAAATAACGCTTCTTAGGGACACACACACACACACACATTGAGGTCTTGGAATTCGTCCCCCTGTTGCCTCCTGCAACGAGTGTTGCTTCAGCTGGTGTCACAGAAGAACAGCAGGTCACCAACAACAATGACCTCCATCAGCCGGTGAACTCAGAGGCCTGAATTTGTGAAATCACCCCATAAAAATCCAGTGTACCGTCGCTCCAGATGTTTAGAAATGAGTGTGAGTGCCGACCGGGAGCGAGAGGGAACATTTTAAACAAATTAAAAATGTTGCATTGATTTTAAGATTCTGTTTTTTTTTTTTTTCATAGCACTGTATGGTCTTGTATGTCTGGCTGAACGTTTGAATCTATAAGTGCAGAAGTAAAAACTCTTTCTGTGAATCAGCTGTGAACACTCATGTTGAGGTGCAGGTGTTGAAATCTATTCAATATCAAGTTAAAAAACACCCAAACGAGCCTTTGAATGGCGAATGACAATTTTATGATACAATTCTATTCTTGTTTCATTGCATGAAAGTTGAAAATGTTATTTCCTTTTATTGACGTTATATGTATTACTTAATTGATTGTACTTGAGTTAAGAATTGTGTTTATTGTTATTTTATCTATCACTTATATTATTCTATTGCCATTTTCATTTAAAGTTGTTACTCTACTATTAGTGTTATTACAACTTAAGTAATTTGTCTTTTATTAAAATATTTGTATCAACATTAATATTGTGAAAAGTTCTTTGTATATTCCGTTGTTTTCACACTTTTTTTTTACTTGCCTGTTTGAAAGGTTCCTTACAAATAAGTTTGATTGATTGCATTGAATTGATTCATAGGCCGGTGTTGTACTTTGAATTGTTTGACACTTTACAGGATGAAGAACCTAATAATGGAAAGTGCATGACGCAATCCCACGAGTAGCTCATACAGGACCAGTGACGGGTCGGACTCACTTCATTCCGTCCATTTAAGTGACTCAGTTGGTGGGAGGAGCCATCATGGAGTCGATGCACCCAAACTCCTGAAGCCCCGCCCCCTCTAAGCTTCGTTTGTAGCTAATTAATAGATTTTGATTAATTTACCTATTTTTTCTCCATTTTTAAAATATATAGTTAGATTGATTTACCTGGTTTATCATTTCTATTTCATTTTTATTTCCAGTCTGAGGGAAGTTGGCAAAGATGGCTGCATTCAAAAAGAGGCTGCGGTTCCTGAATGCGCCGGCCAGACTCGCCGTGACCTCCGGGGCTTAAAGGGGAAGAAAAAAAGAAGAAGAAAACGCAGCCTTGCGTCCTGAAGCCCCGCCCCATCGGCCCATCTGAGGGCCGTTACCAATGATTAGAGTCCGGCGTGGGGAGATTACAGCCTATTAGCACAGAGGAAGGATGACCAGCAGTAACCTCACGCTATTTAAAGACGGCACTTGCATCAGGGCTTTTCATCTAATGCTTCTTCCTTCTTTTTACCAATTGCATCTTAAAAGACACGTCAACAACAAGAGAGACAAGTCTTTCTGTGGACAGTTCCCCAAACGCCATTATTTTCTAGTAACGTACAGACTGATCAAGTGGGGAATGTTAGTTGAGGAAAGAGTATTTCTGTGAGTGTCTCCTTCATTTTTTTAAAAGTGCCTCTTCTTTTTCACTACAGAAGCTTTGAACGGTCCTCATTCCTCTGCTCAGAGCAGCCGCCATCAGCCCGCTTCCTCCTGCATATCTCCACGGACGCCACGGCGTCCGCCGCGCGCGGCCGTCCGCCCAATAGACCTGCAGCACGCGACGGGTAACGGCGACTCATTCATGAAACCAGGTGACACGAGCTGCAGAGGGAAGGACGGCCCTCAAAGAGGCAAAGTGCTAATGCAATGCATTGTGTGTCTGTATGTGTCTGTGTGAGTCTGTGTCAGTGTGTATCACTCAATAACTAAAGTGATCACCTTCACCGGCCAGATTCAGCTGAGGCCAGCAAGAGGAAGACAGCTGGATGCGTTATTGGCCTGGTTTGGGCCCGACTGGCCACCGTATCACACCACCCTCGCCACACCCACCTGCCCCTCCCCCCTCCTCCCCTCTGCTCTCCCCCATCCCTCCCTCTTGCTCCCCTCCTGTTAGCGAACGCACACTTAGTCGGTTGATATTTGCATGTTTTGAACTAATGACACAGGCAGACACTGAAGGAGACGCTCCCAGTTAGATTTGACTATCAAAGTGAGGAGACGGGAGTGTGGAGGCTGCATCAAAACGCACATCCCTTCATTTTAAGTCTCTGTGATCAATACTGAATTGCGCGCTCGCGGCTACATTTCATAGGTTCCCGGTGAGAGACGGTTTCAGGTTTTCAGCTGAAAGGAGCTGGACTCAAACCAGGCGGGCCGGTGTTCATGGTCGCGGAGGCTGACCTGCAAGAGAACTCCTCGAGCGCCTGGGAAGGCAGTCGGGCCTGGTTCGGCACTCTGTTTGGAGCCATTACTGCCCAGCGGGGCCACACCGCGAGGACGCCGGTGCACTCTGGATGCTGAATCAGCAATAAGCCGATTAGAAGGAGCGTGAGAGCACCCAGACGGCTGATATTATCGATCACTCTCAGACTTTAGACTAGTGGGTATGTGATCTTATAGAGTCACCCAGAGTTTAGGGTTACTGGCCTGAACCCTGGAAATAAAACTAAAGAAAAGAATCAACACGTCACAGAAAAGCCCTTTCTCTCTGTTTTAAAACACAATATCAAAGTGCTCCGCCTATAAAAAGCATTGTGTTGTAGTCATTTAGCGGCTAGTTAGCATGCTACTTCCACAATGCTAACTGAAGAGAGGCCATTGAAGTGCCGGGCTTGTTGTGCTCATGCTTAAATCAGTACTGTGAAGGGTTTGTTACGACTAAATACAGCATAAACTAATCGATATGTTTGAATAGGAGCTCACAGGTTTGCTAGCAATTAGCATTAGCGATCCACCGGCTTATTGAAAATGTGACGCAGACTGCTCTCCACAAAATATGCTGCACAAAATGCAACAATTTGGACCTGACTGCATCTCCTAAATAGTCGTATTATTTGGTCTTCAGCTAAATAAAGCGGTTTCCACAACTCTATTTGTCTCATAACTCACAATAATCGGTGCCAGTGCACAACGGCAGTCGTTTATTACACTGCAGGTGCACTCAACATTTGTCCCGTCACATCATGCAGTCATGCAGTGCCTCCTTAATTTGCTGGTTTTCAACATTCTCTCAATCCCTCTGACCCCCTCCTGCTTCATAGCTCTGCTTTACCCTCCCAAAAGTGGGTTGACTGAGGAAAAGCAAACATGGACAGTTACTGTCCTTAAATATGTACATTTTAACCCCCCGTCTGATCAATTTCTTGCCAAAGGGTGGAGTGACTCCAGCGTCCTGTTTAATCAAATATTGAGGAGGGAAAAAGAATAGGTTTACACGCGTGTGGGGCAGCACTCAATGCTGATTGGAATGAATTATTCATGTGTAGGAGCAGCAGGGATGTGCCGACAGGTTAAAGGTGTCATGTTTAGTTTTCAGCAATACAGTTTAAACTCTTTGGGCTCCATTATGATATTTTAAAAAAACGTCCCTGCAACGATTTTAATATGAATGCACCAAATAACGGCTTATATCAATTAGCAACCAGTGCAGCGGCTGAGGGACTATACTCGCGGAGGAATACATAATTACACGTCGTCGTGGTCTACCAACACAAAGAATCTGCCGGAGCATTCCCACCATTTCTATAACCAAACAACCTTCCTCCGCGCAACGTCCCTCATCTGAACTCTGACGAATCGGGTTCCATCTATCGAGTAGAATCTCCGGGAAAACCGGCTGCTCTGCGCCGCTCGCTTTCTTTTCGCCGGTAGGCCGCGAGCATTTCAGCACCACGCGTCTCCCGGACAGCTCCGTCCAATCGGACGCGGCCGTTCGAGGTGCGTCATCCTTCCTCATCCTCTCCTCATCCTCCCTCCCTCCATCACCGAGGCATGGCGGAGGTTGAAGGACCGAACAAACGGCAGAAAAACGCCGGGTGCCACAACCGGCGTCCCGTCAGACCGGCGTGTGCGCTGTAGAACGAACGTGCGCAGGATGGATGAGAGCGGGAAGGTCGTGAGACGCTCCGCCATTTCAGTGACGTATGTCCGGTTTCGACGCACAATGTCGCACGACCTTAGCAGCCGGTCGGCCTCAAAAGCTCACGTTCGATCCCGTTTGTGCTGCTGCTGCTGACGGCGAACCGCTCGTTTACCGCGTCAGTTAACTAACATTAAAGACACTCACGCACACGCACGCACGCGGAAACGCGATGTGCGGGATGACCCGCGTGCATTGACCGCATGGCAGCGCGTCTGCCCGGCCGTACCTGGCGTGAACGAGGCAGGGGTCCCTACCGCGGAGCCCATGAGCAAGGCTCCCGTCGACGCTAAAGCCTGCTGAAATGTCACACGTTTGAATGTATGGTGCGTTCAAGCACGTGTGATTTTTCTTTTAACAAATTCTCAACGTCACAGGCGTCGCTACAGGCAAAGCGACAACTGCAGGAAGCTAGTGCGTGTGTCTGCGTGTGTGTGTGTTAAATACACAACGATATTTACTTACAATAAAACAAAGGTTCTGCACAAAAAGAAAGAGAAACGCCACAACCTTCGGTTTGAATGTCACACGATGCGCCTCAGCCTCCGCCGGGCAGGTGCAGCACCCCGCGATGCTAAATCCTTCCCAACCGACAATAAACTCGGAGAAACGTTGAGAACTCACCTAAAATAATCCACAGCGACCCAGAGACCAAAACGAAGGCGAGCATGTCTTTCTCATTGAGTCAGCTGTGCCGGTGCAGGAGCGGCGCAGAACTGCAGCATCGACTGCAGCAAGTCGCCGACAATCTGAGGGATTAAGAAGGAGGGGAGGGGGGGGGAGGGCGCAATGTATCTGAGGCAGACCACAGTGTGGGGGGGCGCAGGAGATGGCGACCGGCAGGGCTTTAATCGTGGAGAGGAGTGGAGGAAACAATAAATAAACCAGGGCCTAGTGGAGCATCCTTCCCCTTGGTGGGGGGGGTTGTCCACCTTCACCCAGTTGGCCGCTGCGCAATGGCTGACTCCTGCTGCGGGGGGGGGCTGAAAGGTCGGCCGGAAGATGCGATCTGCGTCAAGGTTACCGGGGAGGAAGGTCCGCACAAAACCGGCTCCTCGCTCCACGCGCGTGTTTAACGTGCAAAGCGCGTCACCGGGACGCCGGCCCGCGCGTTCGGCCGTGAACACGCGTGTAGAATTTATTCGCTTTTCGCGTATGTTTGTTTTGACACCGAATAGATGCTGTTGTGACCCGAGAAGCAGCTGTGCTATTCTGGGTCCGTGGCACATCGCACCATAAACGTCCCTGCAGCGAAGCAGCGCGTTTTGCATCAGGGTCACGTGGTGCGTTAAGCCCCGCCCCATGAACGAAAGTAACCCGAGATGGGCCGATAAAAGGCTGAGCGACAGCAGCGAGGTTGGAAGGCGCAAAAAGACGGTAATTAGACACTGTTTGAGTGAACAATAGTAAGTATTTTATTAGATTATGTTGTGTTATGTTTTGCATTGTGGGTCTGGCTCTTCATAGGTTACTTTTAAAGTGATTACTTTTATCTTGTTTGGACCGGCTGATCTTAATTGAACACAATTTAATCTTATTTTATCCATTCACTACATTGATTTGATTCGCATTGTGAATACCAAATACCATTAAAGCCACGTGCCGCTTTTTGAGGGCAACATGCAGAAAGAAATATCTGAATATTGTATATTTAGGGCGGCGTTGGTAATATGGAGAGAAACATCAGTCCGCTGGATTTGAAAAAGGATCCAACTTAAAAAGCCGGTCCTGAGATGCTGACTCTTTAGCGATGAAAGTAGATAAGATGCCAAGTCAGCAACAATTAAAGCATCCCCAAAGCACACAGCTCCTATCAGCACTCATGGGTGTTGGCTGTGGCCAGTGCTGTAGTGGTAAAATTAGAGGTGGGTAAACTCTGAATTTTGTGATCATACAGACCTCGACGCGATGCGAAGCAACGCAACACAAAGCGTTGCGACTCTGTAAGGCTGTCCTGGCTATATTGCATTATGTTATCAGTAAAAGTCATATACAATCAATGATAATGAATAAATGTGTTAGTAGTTTATTAAATTTAAGAAAACAGGCACTGATTGGATGCTCACAGACCGTAATACAGCGCAGATGAAAAGGATTCAGACTACGGCGTTTATATGTTCAATAAAAGGAAACGTAGTCTTGGCTGTTTTAAAATTACACCAAGTATATTTCGGATTATTCCAACGGAAGAATACAAGGCGCAGGGAACTTAGAGGTGGGTAAACGCTATTTCCAAAATTCAAGAGGTGCGTAAACGGCGTTTACGTGCGTTTACCCTCCACTACAGCCCTGGCTGTGGCCCCTCGGGGGCGGCTCTGGTCAGGAGAAGCAGTAAAGTCCCTCAGTGGCTCTTTAAACGATGTCAGGAGAAGAGAAGCTCAACTAAAGAACAACAGGTTTGAAGGTCTCCAAACGTTGCTTCCAGCTTTCAGGGGCGGGGGCCTTAATGTCCCGCCTATCTTCATGTATTTTTCGCCCCACGTTTATCGTCTTAGCAGCGGCAATAAGTGCGCTGGCAGTGATTGGCTGTCGTTGTGCTTACAGAAGGGAACTCCTTTTCTTTCTCCTCACTTGCTTACACTATTTTCAAAATGAACTTCTGTGTTTATTGGAAACAAATTACTATTGTTTGTGCTCATAGTTTGAGGTTTTCGCAACAAAACCACTTTCAGTTCAGTTAAAGCGCGTCGTCACGGGTCGAACGACTAGATGTGTCGTTGCTGAAATACGTAACGAATGAATCATCTTGTGAGTTATGCTGCACGTTCTTTCACAGGTACAGGTGCGTCTGCTGGATGAGAGCCGCCTCCTCAGAGAGCCACAGCTTGAACGCGAAACGTCGCTAAACTGTTTCTTCACGTCTGAGAGCGCGTAGAGCTTCCACCAGCACGACGCCACCCGCATCCACCGCCACCATCCGCGGGTTTATTCGTCACAAAACTCCTTCACCGCTTAATGTCTTAATGTGCCGCTGTCATGTGACTGACCTGATTAAATGAGTCGCCTCTAATCTGTCACTCTTCTTCTCCTCCTTCTTCTGTGATCCCGAGGAGGAGGAGGAGGAGGAGGAGGAGACACACGGGACAACGAGAGACAAAGGCTGCAGATCTTAAATAATTACCTGAAACACCTGTTAGGTGAGGGCAATGATTACAGATATTTGTTTATCTTGCAATGTGATCAAAATACACACAGGAGGGGGGGGTGTACTTAAAACACAATATCAAAGTGCTCTGCCCATTACCAAAGAAATGGGAGTTTTAGGTTAAGGTCAAGGGTCAAGGGGGGTAAATACCAGAGATGAACTTTCTCCTCCTCTGACATGATGGTAATAAATTATGAATTCTTTGTTTTCCAAGGCCATAAACATGCGTAAAACATGACACGTCCTTAAAATATGTCCACATGCAACTCCTACTTAGTGAAGGCAGCACGCACGCGCTAAAAGTAGGATGAGTAACACCAATTAGCTGTGCGAGTCGGCCGCTGAGCTTTGGAAGATTCTTCATACAACAACCTTTTATAGCGTGGAACGGAAGAGAAGAAGACAATATCAGCAGCTCAACTGAGAAGGCCGAGACCGAGACCGACGACCTCCAGAAGGAGGACGAGGAGGGCGATGTCTTTCTCGTTGAGCCAGCTGTGGAGGAGCGGAGCAGAACTGCAGCATCGTGCAAATCCTACTCAGTGGTGGCAGCACGTACGCGCTAAAAGTACAATGAGGAAACAATTTGGAATGGCGTCTGAAATTAGCGCGCTAACGTGTGCTCATTTGTCAGGAAACAAAGCCCAGCCAAGGCTGATGGGAACAACGCTTTATTATTGAAAGATACCTTGAATTATAAAATCAGACAAGATGATGAAGATTTCCATTTATGGGACGAGAGCAAATAACCTGCAGATAAACCTTTTAAAAGTTTTCTTTTTATGAGGATAAGATGTTAATAAATCTTATCTTACAGCACTAAAGATAACACGCTGCCATTTGAAGCACGCATCACTTTGACCCAGTCACTCTGGACTCATCATACAGGTTCAGTCAACATGTTTTTTATGTACGGGGGAAACTGGAGACCTCGGAATGAACAAATCAAATGAGCCGAGACTTCTGTTTTCACACCAAACAGCGGTGAGGAGGAGGATCATATTATACTAGCGCATACTTATATGCTACAAAAAAGACAAGTGAAGCTTAATCAATAGAATTTGTGAATTTGAGCAGTTGTTCCCAGCCGCATTGGCCCAAAATGTCCAATCCAAATGTCTCAGATGTTCTGATTTACAACTAAAACTCCAATGATTCTCAAGAAAGATCTAACGTGTGCTCATTTGTAGCACCCAGTAGCACCCAGTAGCACCCAGCAGCACCCAGTAGCACCCAGTAGCTCCCAGTAGCTCCCAGTAGCTCCCAGTAGCTCCCAGTAGCACCCAGTAGCTCCCAGTAGCACCCTGGAATGAGGCAAGTTTATCTCATTTATGGAAACTCCAGTTAACTCATGCCTGTACTTGTTTCAGATCACTCAGAGTGATATAAATACGTCACATGCTGAAGTTGCCCCCCCCCTCTACCCGTCTCTGTCGCTCTCAAAGCGATTCCACTAACGGGAAGAAACGGAGGAGGGACAAATTCAGGAAATACTTCTGAAAGGGGATAAAATGGATAAAATACATTGTGTAACCTCCACCACGTGTCATCTTCCCTTCACCTCCAGGAGTTCTTATATTCTCACATTACTTTATAGAAACACCAATTGGCTGTGCGAGTCGGCCCCTGAGCTCAGGAAGATTCTTTATACAACAACCTTTTATAGCGTGGAAAGAAGGAGAAGAAGATAATATCTGCAGCTCAACTGAGAAGGCCGAGACCGAGACCGACGACCTCCAGGAGGAGAACCCGGTATTCAAAACTCTGCTCAAATTCAGGCCTAACAGGGTGAAATAAATGTCCAGTGAAAAGGTTTTGTCCCCCGTGCATGAGGCCGGTGGAGCGAAGGCGTTGCCTTGACCCCGGGGGTCACTGGGCTGGTAAAGCAGATGGTCTGAAGGCAGATTGGACGCTTAAGACGCTCGTCTTGTGTTACTGTTCCTTCCTCGCAGTCCTCATAATCAGAACCACTGTGTGAGCTGAAGTAAATCCCAGAATGCAGCTGTGATCAGCTAACGCTATTGTTAACATTAGTTAACTAGCATGGAGTAAAGAAATGCTGTAGTTATCATGAACATCTCCGTGTCAAATTCCATGTATGTCTGACGTACTTTGGCAAAACATGTTAATTAATTGATTCCTAATTAGCACTTACAATTAGCAGGACTATATAGTGAAAAAAAGCGTAATAGTTGGCGTTAGGATTAACGTGAGCGCTTCAAAACTATCAGACTGTATCTGGTGAAGCGTCTTTGAATGAGTACGTTACCTTAATATGCAAGAAGCTCCCAAACATCTGAGGTGTGGGCCGCAGGCCGAAGCGTTTCACAGCACTTTGAGATAGAAACGTGTCTGCTGGCCGCGACACACTGAACACAACGAGCTGTAGAGAGTCAGTCTGTCTGTTAGGTAAACTTCACATAGCTGCTGGGAAAAAAGGCCTAAAAATGACGGAACCAGCAGGTCAAGACAACCCGACCCAGTTCAGCGCCTTCGGACCCGGTAAACACTGTTTACATGCACCGGATCACGCCACTCCTTTTCTCCACACATGTAAAGGTTGTATACAAAGACATCAAGGCTTATATTGTTAGACATGTTTGTTTAATAAATCAATAAAAAAAAAATACTTTCAACTCGACAATGTGTTTTACATCCTCCACTCGTTATTTATCATTATTACTATTATTGCTCATGTTTTGGGGAATCGAGAACAATTAACGGGATGATCCCCCCCCCCTCCCTCACCGAGCCCCCCATCCAGATGTCCGCATGTGGAAAATCCCACAGACTATAGACCGAAAACTCCGCAGGAAAACTCCCTGCTTCTCCCCTCGTGGTCGCGCTCGAGCACGGGGGCGCGCGCAGGCGGCGCGAGCGCGCAGGCACAAGGCGCGGGGAAGGCCGCAGGTGGACGCGCTCTCCGGGGTCCCCCCAGAATCGCAGCAAGGAGGAAAACGAGCGGACGTGTGCAGCGCGAGCGCGCACGGACCGCAGCCGATGCGCGTGGGCGCGACGGTTGGAACGTCACGCGTGCTCGCGGCGAACTACTGTCACGTGTGTGGACGGTGACGTTTTATTGACAGCAACAGCGCAGCAGCGCCCTGCCGGCCGCGGGAATTACTACATCGTTTCCGATAAATGCCCGGCTTCTCGGCGCGGACGTGTTTTTACCGAGAGGCTGCTCCCGCGCTCGTGCACCTCAACCTAACGCGAAGCCACAGTTTCCGGCGGCCGACGTGCGTGTGCACGGGGTTGTCATTATAAATGCATTTTTTATTTTCACACAAGATACACAATTTACACAACAAAAAGTACGTGATGGATGTTTATGATCATAATGATTGTAGTAGAATTATATAGTAATGACTGTGTACTGCAGACGCATTAACACGTCATAACGCGCGTAGAAGTTGTAGAACCTGTAAACGTGACTGCAGCCGCAGGTGTGAGGCGGCATGTGGACCTGGTCCGACTCAGGCTCTTTAGTTCCTTCTTGCTTTCAGCGGCATGATTTCTCGGAAATCGGTCTGCTGCCGAAGGGGACCGGCAGCTGCGCATGCGCAGACCACAACCCTCCCCGGAGCCTATAAAAGTCGAGAGACGCGAGACGCCTCACAGTCCCGATCGAGACGCGTCTCCAGGTGCCGAGAGCAGAGAGCAGGAGAATCTCCCCCGGAACCAACTCCAAACAAGCGGAGTGTTTTTGTGCTATTTTCCCTCTTTACGGATCACATAAACAAACTCATTCCGTAAGTGGGTTCATCTTCATCACTCCGGGATACGGACTGCATCTTCTTTCTTGCACTTCTTTTTCATGCAGTGAATTCGGGAACAGGAGCGTAAACACCTGCGTGGTTTTTCGCGTGTTTGGTAAAGTTGATTCAACTCGGGTTGAAATGACTTCTTTCGTTTTTACACATGTTCGCGTGCGGCAGCGCGGGAGGAGGCGCGACCTCCCCGAGCGCGCGCCGCGGCCACTCGGGCGCACGTCTCCAAACGCGGACCGGAAAGAATTCGCGCCCCCCCCCGCCCCCCTTTAACGGTTTCACTGGGGAACTCCTGTGAGCCACAACGGGCTTAAACAGGGAAACAGGACATGGGGTTTTTTTGGGGGGGGGGGGGGGGGGTCTCTCTCGGTGTTTTATGACCTTCCCTAGTAACGCCGAGTGCCGCGCGTAAACGCCCCCCTGCTGCCTCCCCCTGTCCGCCCGCCTCGCCCCGCCTTGCCCGTCAGAGCGAACCCGAGTAGTGAAGGCTCACTTCTCCCTTTGTTTGCTGCACACTTCAGGTCCAACATGCCGGTGGAAAGGATGAGGATGAAGCCGTGGATCGAGAAGAAGATCGAGTCCAACTCCATCTCGGGCCTGAGCTGGGTGGACAAGGTGAGGACTCCGTTCAGCAGCACGTGAAAGAGGGCAGAAGCACAGTAGCGTATGCTACTAACCCATAGCTTTATACTACTAACCCATAGCTTTATACTACTAACCCATAGCCTTGTATTTTATTCCTGGTGCACTGTTGTCGTACTGTCTGCTGTCTGATAGAACGGCAGCTTCCCGGCTCACGTTCACGTTAAGGTAGCAGCTTGTGTGGAGCTGTTGTGCTGTAGAGAAAGAAAGTTAACTTGCAAGTGGCAGAGAAGTCAACAACCTCCTGTGTGTGTGTGTGTGTGTGTGTGTGTGTGTGCGCTCACTGTTTAGCTCTCCTCCACGTGGACGCCTCCATCCGACTCAGCATTTCCTTCTTTTGTCTTTCCAGGATAAGAAGATATTCTCCATCCCCTGGAAGCACGCAGCTCGCCACGGCTGGGAGATGGAGAAGGACGCCGTCCTGTTCAAACAGTGGGCCATCCACACAGGTGAGGATCTGCCGATACACACCTGTGGGGCGGGGCTGGGGGGTCATGACGGCGTCAGGGGACTAAACAAAGTGCATCATTCAGGGAAACACGTGGAGGGCCAGGAGTGTGACCCAAAGACGTGGAAAGCAAACTTCCGCTGTGCGATGAACTCGCTGCCCGACATCGAGGAGGTGAAAGAAAAGAGCGTCCACAAAGGCCACCAAGCTGTGCGCGTGTTCCGGATGCTGCCCGCCACCCCCAAATCTAGAGGTGAGGCAGGAAGCTGAGAGCATCAAACCACAGCGTCGCTTTCTACAAGAGCGGTTTGTTTGTGCCATGAGAAAAGCTCAACGTCTCCCTTTCTTCTGCTCAGATAAACGATGCAAAGCAAAGGAAACAAAGGCCAGGAGGAAGGTAAAGAGGTCTTTTTATGTTTGAGGCATTTGCCCCTGCTGAGTGTTTAGTGACACTACTTACATAGCCCGTATATGTATCATATATATATATATATATGTGTGTGTGTAGGTATTCAGCAGGTTGTGCCTCTCTGTGCTTCTGCAGAACTCAAGGATCAAGAAGGAGGAAGACGAGGAGTACAGCGACGTCGTCATGCACGAGTCGATGCAGCAGAGCGCCCCGTCCACTCAGGAGAACACGGTGGACAGCACGGTGCCCACTGACACGCTAGGTGAGGAGCCCGTCTTATTCATATATACATATATATATATATATATATACGGTTGAAATGTAGTGGAGTGTATTTAACGCTTCCTCTTGCCGTCTCCACAGTTTTCCCCCTTTGGCCGCTGTCCGAAGTCCCCGACTGGAGTTGCTCGTTGGAAATCGAGTCGGCCTTTCCAAACTACTGCAGCCACCAATTCGAAGTGTCCCCCGAGCACAGCTCCGGTAAGACGACAAACGAATGTTTTGAATTGACACCCGTACGGGAGGATGGGCATCGAGTTACTCACTGTCCCCTCCTCTTCTTTCCTCCCTCCCTCCCTCGCTCTCTCTCTCCGCTGGGATCTTCTAGACTACGACTACACCGAGAACATTGTCCAGGTACGCATGGCGCTCCCTGCTCTCGCCTGCGGGCATTCTTCATTGACAGGAATACCCATGTTGGTCTTAAAAAAAGTCAAATAGAAAGACAACCGTACTGAGTTCAGTGTTGCTCTTTCAGATTTGTCAGCAACTAGAGAAAGACCCACACTGCAGGATGGGGAGCTTGGACGGCACAGGGTTCCTGAGCAATGAAGCATGCACCAGTCCAGGCAGCCACTGGAGTGAATCGTCCTCAGGTAAATGTCCCCAATGGTTGGACGGGCTGTCTCCGGATGCATGTGCAACATGTCAAAGTCTGGATGGGTCCAACAACACGAGTATCAGAGGAGTCTCAGTTATTCTCACTGAAAAAGGACCAAAAAACAAAGTCAGGCCTTATTGGCCCGACCGACCGTGAAGACAAACATCACTCCCCTGATTGTGTAATAAGACAACAACGTCCCCTTTTGCCTCCGCAGTCGACGAGCTAGAGGAGACGCCGCAGTACCTGACCCTGGGCACGGACATGGCGCCGGCCACGGACAACATATGGAGGAGCTTTCAGCAGTCGTGAGGGGTCTTCAGCAGAAGGGACAGAAGCGCGCTGTTTGATACTCAAGGACTTTTAAAAAAAAAAAGAGCTCACCCTGTCCTCCCAATCGTCCCCGCTGACTGAGGCCGCGTGGTCGAGCGGAGTGCGCCGTGGAGCGGTCGCCGTCCGGACCCTCGGTCCGAAGTCTCCGCCGCAGCAGAGGGACGCTCTCTGCGCACTTCTGATGTTTTTGGCTGGTTCAAGGCATTTCTGATACTCGGTCTCTCTACATAGCGATTGGTTGTATATTATGCTCATACTTACCTGCCGGGTGGACGTTTTACTTTACTTTACATTACATTGGACGTTTTACCCCCCAATACAGATACAAGCTACATAATCGGTGCGCTAGTCGTCATATAGTCTGGTAGTAACACACATGGTATCGTTTCTTTCTGTTTTGTGTACATACGTTTTAGTTTAGTTCAGAAAAGCTTCTTAACTTCTGGTAAAAGCTGCACTTCAGTCAATATATGTATATAAAAAGGTTTCTGTCTGTTTGTGGTTTTGTAAAATAAATCAAAATGTGAACAAATATGACTCTTTTATTTCAGCCTGCGTCTAATTATCTTGGTTCAAACCATTACAATGTGTATATTATATTACAAAAACATGTTATTAATAGAAATGGAGTTTCATCATAAGGAATAAGTCTTATACATTCAAAAGTCATTGACGGCATTGAGTAAAAAGTCATGAGACTCCAATCATAGAGAATATGACCAGCGATGAAAGATCCGTTTTCAAAAATATAGAATAAATTAATCAAGTTTGTTCAAAGTCATTGAGTTCAAGTGTCAAGAACATGATTATTCTAATAATTAAATCCTTTAAAAGCCTAAAAAACGTGTTAAAGACGTCAGCATCTCTTTTGATGTAATCCATTTGTCAGAAAATATTAAATCGTTATATTTAGAAGAACGGCAACTTTTCGACAGATGTAAAGTACGCGGTTGTTTTTCCTTCCTTATCTGGATTCCCTTTGAGATCCCCGCAGACGTTAAGGAAATCAACACGCTCCATTCGTGCACGCTGAGATCTGTCACCATCTCCTCTGCAGACAACGGTTACAAAAGACACAGCGCAGACACGTCTGAAGGTCTCCTTCGAGGGAAACCACCGAGCTGGCAGGTTCGCGCACTTTAGTTCCCTCACTCGGGCTGGTTGGTCCACTTGAGAGAAGAAACTATTTCAGGAGCAGATGATTGCGTAAGAATAAGGGAAGAACAATGCAGCTGACAGGTGTCACCATGAAACCTCCCCACTCAACTATTGACATTAAGACAATGCAAATGGAATCAAGCGAATGAGGCATTATTCTCAAGGTGCTGATTCGCAGACGTTCTGGATAAAGTCGGGATCCTTTGCAGGATTTCTTCACGTGTTGCAGTCAAATGATGGGAATGGTGGGAATTTGTATCCGTCCATGAATTAGAAAGTACTGGTCAAAAAGACAATTGTCCCTGTGTCTTTAGTAGTGAAATGTGTATAGATGAGTGTCTGACGGAGGTGTGAGGGGAATGAAGCGGTAGCTTCCTGGATGTAAGAGATTAATGGATCAAGTAGCAGTAAAAAAATTTTAGATGTTTTATTTCCACTAGTCGGTAAAACGTTTAAATTCAGCTGTGCATTAAAACAATGTTTTTCCTCCCCTTAGTTAGATAAATGTATCTTAATCAGAATGTCTCTATGAATAAGCAGTTTTCGTGTTGCACCTCATGCAGAGATGTGAGGATGGTTTCTGAGGCTTTTATTCTTCTTCTGCTGTCACCACATCCCCCGAAATGTCTTTCATCTCGATCAGATAGAAAACGACAATTTGTAGAGAGGTGCTTTTTAATTAATAAAGACAGTTAATCTGCTTGTTGTTTTTTAAAGATTTATTAAACAAAAATGTGAAAGATTATCCAGACAAAACGTGTGAACCAGAGGTGAGGATCCTGACAGAAAATGGTGATTCTATATTTCTTTATCTCTACACACAACAGTTATTAGCTTTTCTGAGTTCATCTACTCACAACACTGCATGGAGGTTGATCAACCAATCAATGTGATAAATGAGCATAAAGGAGGCAACCAGATGGTGGAGGCGACCAGACCGCTTTGGTACCCTAGAAGAAAAAGAAAGATGGTTTCAGCTAAAGAAGACATTACGAATGTACAGAAACGGAGCACAAGATATCGCTGCATCTGTTAGGGGCGAAAAGGGTTTAGGGAAAGGAGGAAAATCACTGGACATCCAAAATAACCAAAACCTGAGACCAATCCGAGAACACATATTGTAATAAAACAGTTGCAGTATCGAGCAAAACTACAATAGGAACTATAAGAGAAGACGTGGTGAAGACCAACACAAACAAAACAAACTGTGTGTGTGTAACCAACTATGTTGCACAAGTATTTGGTTTAGTGGATCAGCATTCTGAACTATAAGACATATGAAAGCATGCGTATGAATGCATCTTCATATATATGTATAGACATTCCATTACAGGTCATTTAGCAGACGCTTTTATCCAAAGCGACTTACATTACACTTTAAACCCATGGTGGCTTTTACACATTTTTGCCCGGGGAGCAATTAGGGGTTAGGTGTCTTGCTCAGGGACACTTCGACATGGAACATGGGGCAGCCTGGAATCGAACCACCAACCTTGTGCTTCCCAGCACACCTTCTCTAACCCCTGCGCCACGACGACCCCCGATTTATTCTATGGGTTTCTTTGGTAATTATCTCTGCACGAGTGTCTGTGGGAGTGTGCATCTCTACGTGTGACCACAACTAATTTCACATCGGTTATTAATATGGTGAGAATTCTTGTACCCCATGTAGTGTCCTCCGGGTATCTCACGGTGCATAGTGAAAAGTGTGCGTGCACGCACACTACACGTCTGTCGTTACCATGAAGTCGACATGTTGCCGCTGCAGTTCTAGCAGAAATGAAAGCCTTTAGGTAAATCACGAGGCGTGAACGCCTGTCAACACGACGCCATTCTGATTGTAACTAAGCGATAAAACCGCTGCAGCAGCACGTGTTCACACCAACGGAAAAGGTCAGTGAAGGAGGAAGCAGAACAACAACAAAGAAACACCCGAGGAAGTGCCTTTAACTGTCAAAAAGCACCTGGAATGTTTTAAGAAATGTAACACGCAGCTGACGTGGAGGTGTTGTTGAGGGTGGATGCTCGTGTTCCACCTGTTGCTACCTGCTGCGCTGTAACTAAAACACTGACTGTGTTCACTCTGAATACAGACAAATCATATTCAAAGTATTCAAATTATTTATTTTTAATTCTGGAAGCAAAGTTTTATACCCAGGTAGTTTAATGTAGCTTGATGTTAGCTCAATGGTTACACAACGTTAGCTTAACGTTAGCTTAACAATGAGCTAACGTTAGCTTAACAATGAGCTAACGTTAGCTTAACGTTAAGATAACGTTAGCTCAATGTTAAGCTAACGTTAGCTTTTTACTTCTGCCGGCTGCATTCTAAACTATGTGTGTGAATGTTTTTTGATTAACTATAAACTCTCTAATGGAACAAACCATAACGGCGCGGCTGTGTTCACGCCGTGTGACGTTGTTGTGAGTGTCGTGTGGAGCCGCTACAACGTTAGCACATCAATCCGGGTTCCGTTCAGAATTCTTTATTGTGTGTAATCCTGCATTGTCACAGGGTTATTCCCGCATTCCTTTTATATCCGTTTCTTGTTAATTAAATCCCAGTAACACTGTGTTTTTAACCAGCACGGGTTTCGTTTGTTGACTGAAGTTCAACCGATTAAGTTGCGTTGTTTCAGTACATGTTGGGAGCCAACGATTAAACACCAATGATCCACGCAGCGGCGTCTTTTTAATGCATCAGATGTTGTAAAGGTTATGGGTTGTTACCGTGACTACGGGGGAATATGATCCCTCAGAAAAGAGGCGTGGCGCTGAGACGCCCAAAACCACAGCGATGTGCCATGCGTGGGTGAGATGGCAGCAAACACACAACAAAACAACCCACAAAAGAGACATGCGTGTGTGCGCGCGGAGAAACAGGTTTGGTGCTTTCCATCTGGCGAGAGTAAACTTTGCACTTGACGCGCGCTCGTCTCTGCACACCGAAGATCAGCAGGACTCTGCAGCTTTATAGTTGGCGCCGTTTTCTCCTGAGAAGGCGTCTCGTATCTCGTCGTAGTTTCATTTTAGTTCATCTTTTTAGCTCAACATTTGGTCTGAAAATAAAGTCTTATAAAAGTAAATGGAAAACAGCATAACTTAACAAAACCCATGTGGCATATAATCAAAGAAAACATATTTTAAGTGGAAAATGAAACGTGTTCACAGTGGATTAAAGGCGTCCTTTATTCCTGCTAAACGAGCAGCAGCAGTTCATCCGATGGCCCCGAGAAAGAAAAGCGCTCAGCAGCGCTTCCGAGCGCTCTCTGTTTGACCCCGCCGACAGGAAGTGGACACAGCCATCGTCTCTCGTCTGAGAGCCGCGGCGTGCCGAGGCAATAGATGAACCCCACAGACAGAAGAATGTGTTACAAACCACCCGACCCGACCGGAACCGTAAGGAAACGTCACCAGGCGACTGAACAGCTGACACTCTACGTCTCCAAGACAATAAAGTCTCTCTAATCGAAATAATGAGTATTCTCTGCGAGCACTTCTACTTCATACCGCACTTACTTTAACACACAAACCACGAGATTAGTGAAAGCTCGTAAAGTGGTTTGGATTGAGTCTGTCTAAAGTGGTGCCGTATGAACCGGATATATGCGATAACTCACCGATCCAGCGGTTAGTACTCATCTTGCACACAATTCCGTTACCTATATTTAATATTTAACTAATACATCTGAAAACCTCCACCAGTGCAAGTCAAAACAAACACCCTCGACTGCATTCCAGTTTAATTATGGTGGCGCCTGCAGGTGGAGGAACCAGAACCGCTTGCTTACGGTAAACGACTAATTGGCGTTACATGATTGACGCAGCTTTAATCCCTAAGAGTCAGTCCCCCTTATAACAGGACCCGACATGTCGTGACTTCACGAGATGCGGTGACTCAGCTGACGATCAAACGCATCCAAAAGACGTAAAGTTACGTATTGGTTTCATCGTGACTCAAAGTCACTCACCAAAGGAGTTGTGTCATCACATGATTTCAGGATTGTAGAGCTGAATTAGGCTCTCGTTGGTGTGACTGGGGGGGTTTCTGGTTTCACGCGTCCACGTGGAGCTGGTCATTCTCCTCGCCGCGCGTCGCTCTGGTCCCGCGTCTCACCGCGGGACGGGCGGCTGGCGGAAGTTGTGGACTTTCCTCAGACGGAGGAAAAGAAAGGCAGGAAGCAGAAGTCGACCCGTTGGAGGTCTTATCTCAGTGATGCATGCGGCAATCTCAGGTCAGATTTATGTCGTCGGGTGGTTTGAGAGAGTCGTTCATAATACCTTTCCTTTCTACTAGATCAATAAATCTCAAGGTCCAACGGTTCTACTCGTCTTACGCTTAAACCCGGACCGTGATTGTCACAGCACAATTTCTAAGACTATTAATACTTATAGCAAAAACACTCGCTGAGTTTGCAAAAGTAAAATCACAAACTCTGCTTTGAAGGAAGAGTAATGTAGGATATTAGAAACAAATTGACGATCCGGTTCATCAAATTTATTAAAAAGGCATATAGTGTACACCAGAATACAGCCATGATTCTGAAACTGTGTAATCAATAAAGTAATGACAATATTGTAAAACCACTGTAAATCTGCAACTGTACTAGAATAATACCAATGTAGTTATGATTGTATTTGATGTAATGTAATCAACTGGAATGCATGCATGTAATACTTGAACAACAACTGATATTGACTGAGGGTCATTCAAAATCCGAGTTACATTGAACTCACCAGAAGACTCCCAGAGGTGTGGACACTGCCTTTCACACCTTTAAGCATTGGTATAAATACCTGTAGGAACCATTGTTCTGGAGTTCGCTGGTGGAGGCAGCAGACGGGCACTAGGGATGGTCAAAGGACTGACCTGGGGCCTGTTGGTCGCTGAGACCAGCGGCTCCTCAGCTGAGATGTTCTTTTTAACACCATGACTTTTATTAAATACATTTGATTTTAACCTTTTGACCAGCGATGACCTCTGTCAGTCCGGCGTTTCTTCATTTTTGAACACAACAGTAAGAAATGGAATTACTGATGACATCAGAGCTACATGGTGGACCATGTAATCAACGAATGACCCCGAGGGAAGCCGGCCAGAACCCCCAAACCCAAACCCAAACCCAAACCCTAACTTGAGCCGCTGCACCGTAGCACCTTCAGGACATCTCCAAATGAGAAGCGGTTCAGTAGCACTGCCAGAATCTAATGAGACACACAACAACACACAACATTGTTACTTCACGTCCAGACGTGGGCAGAGGAAGAATGTTCACTGCAGAACGAGAGACCCATATAGTCAACATGGTGTGTGCAAATAATTCCATAAGGCTACAAGGAAGTGAGGATGACAAAACATACACAATGTGAGCATTTCTGTATTATGTCGTGTCCGAATCCGAATGAAACAAATCTACAGAGTCCCTTTTGGAAGAACAGACTATGTGCAGTAAGCTATGGTATCATTGGTGCTGCCGTGCTGCATTGAGAGTGATGGCGCCGGAGGCTCATGGGTCATGAGCTGCTTTTTGTGGATGAGGCGGGTTTCAACCTCACTAAAACAAGGAGGCCTGGATACGGCCTTCCAGAAGATGGGGCCTCGGACTGGAGGACATCGCACGTGATGCGATGTGGCCGGTCCCAGAGAGACGAGATGTGGCCGACTGTTTTTTTTTTTTTTTTCCTCCTCAGTGAAATTACTATTTTAGTGTTTTGACTTGGGAAAAAAACCACTTGTGTTTGTTTGTGTGTAAATAAACACCGATACGTGACGTTTGGATCCCTTTACAGAACTATGACAAAAGTATGACCTCAAACTGATGCAGCCTTCCTCGTGTGCATAGAAAGCAGAAGCCAGATGTGTTATTTACTCAGTGTGAACACAGCCGACAAACAGCCAGACAAAGCCGTAGAATAATAACTTAACGCCGACGTGAATCATGTGACTCGAGCCGGTTCGAAGACTCAGACAAAACAGATTGAACAGAAGCATTTTTGTCTCAAGTATTTGTGGGTGTGTGTCTGGTAGAGATAGAGAGACAGAAGAGGAGGGAGGACGTGGGTGTGTAGAGAGAGAGAGAGATAGACACATGGTGATTATTAGTCGGCTGGTTTACTGGAAACACCACGGCTGTTTTTAGTTTAACATTAAACCTCTAATGGTGGGATCCACGTCCAGTTTTGGGGCATCTGAAATCACTTATTTCAGAACTGCTGTTTTCCTCTTCTGTGGATCTTATTTAGTAGCCACAGCCACTTTAAATCTAAACAACCTACAGCTCCATAAACTCTTTATAGTTCATTTAGCGCACAGGTGTGAACCTTCTAAAAAGTACGTCATTGACAAAGTGACCTTGACCTTTTTGGGGGCTGATTTAAGGAGGTGCAGTTCGGCTCATTTTGTCCGACGTGGAACGTCGCGTAATCCCAAAACACCAGAACACAGAGAGCAGAACCGCCACTCGCAGGGAGGTCAGGAGGTCGCAGCACTCATGTCTTGTTATTCAGTCTTTGTGTTGGAGACCCAAGTCATGCAAAGGGTTTAATCTTTAGTGTAAACAGGTTGCATTTGCCTGTGAGAAGTCACGTGACTTCCTGCAGGGAGAGAAGCCCTCTTGGCGGTTGGATGGTCTTCATGCGTAACCCTGTTGTGGGCTGCATGCCATCCCGCCAGCGTGTCCGCCCACTCCACACGCGTGTGTGTGTGTGTGTGTGTGTGTCTGTGTGTGCGGGGGAGGGTTGGATACTGTGTGTGGGTAGGAGAGAGAGAGAGAAACACGCACACAAACACTAGCTGAACCAACGGGTCAAACCAGGAAACAGTTCGGTGCCACGGTGTTGTCATGGCAACGGGACAACAAAGCATGTGGCGACTCGGCGCTGCAACTTTATTATCTGTCTGATCCAACTTTTTTTTTACAGAAACGTCAAATTCCCGATGCCGTTTGCTGCGGCTTCTTCTCGTAAATGTCACGTGACACTAATTTGTTTACAGGGGTGGTAAAAGGACAATAAAGTAGGAGTCGAATCGGAGGCCTTGAAACGTCATTGAGCAGAACAACAATCTACGGAATACGTAATTTGATATAATATTTTCTTGATTTTTCTCATATTCTCGATGTGCATATTTGACATCTACCCGAGGTACTACTTCCAGCCATTAGACGCCTTTTAGGAACCTTATTGAAAACAGAAGTATGCGTTTTTTTTCCTTAAATCGTATCTATGATTGATCACCTCGTGCTTTGTGGCTGCATTCTATATTCCACCTGCTGTGTTTTCCATACGTAGACTCTGTCCTCCACAGTTTCCTCGATCAAACCCTTCCTCATTTTTACAACGTGCAAAGAGCGCGGCGGTTGTAATCTGTCTAGGCCCGTTTTTATTGCCCGTGCAGCTTTTCCTTTCCCTCACCTACAGAAGACCATCTTTAGCATCGTGGCTACGAGTGTGCGGCTATCCACCAGCCTCTTAAACCCCCCCGTTGGGCGTTTAACGTTGAGATCTTGTCAAACTGCTGCAAAGAAAAAGTGATTGATAGTTTGTTCAGGGCGGATGTGGCTGAATACCAGGCAGACTGCCCCCCCAGAACCAAAACCAGGGGCTTCCTAAACGTGAGCGTCCACCCCGCTGGCACAGCAGAGCTGACCTAAGACAGTAAAACGCCAAAACATCCCGGGATTTTCTCTTAAAGCATCGGATGATTTTCAGATAAGACTACAAACAGACGCCGTTCGTTTTGTTTTTTTGACATGAAAATATGTGTTAATCTTCACTGCGGGCATCTCTGCGCTCCCGAGCCGTCTCCCGTGGGTGCGGTCGCAGGTGGGGGGGGGGGAGGCGGAGAGCGGGAAGCCGGCCGGCGGAGGCTGGGCCTGCAGGCCGGCCGACCAGTTGCGGAGCATACCGTGAATGGTTACGGATGGCTTCGACAAAGAAAGGCATTCACGTGTTTGTCTGTGCATCGCTTGGTTTGTGCACGTGGCTCATCTCGTCCTCTGGTTCGTTTAAAACCAGGAACTTACTTTTCGCTGTGACGCCTTCCTGGTGGATTGTATCTATTTTCCAAGTCAAATGAATGAAAACGGCGGCGAAGCGGGTGGAAGAACTGCCTCGACATCGACTCCCCATCACATCACAGCTGCTCGCCGGCGTCGGAGGCGACAAAAATAGTCCTAATGTCGGATGTGGCGCCTTTAACTTCTAGTTGTGCCACGTGTGATTGACAAACACAATGTGGTTCCTGCACACCAACTCAGTTTATTTATCAACTGCGCGCTACACAATGCATGGAAGGTGAAGCCCACAAAAGTGTGGAGAGTTTCAATAGGACGTTTTTTCAAAATCTTTATGAAAAACAAAATTGCTCAAAACGATTGTTTTCGAGCTGCACAGCTGCAGCGTGACAAACTGGGATAAAAGCCCCTGCCTTTGTTATTACACCCCCAACATGATGTCACTATTCCTTGGGTTTAAGGTCCAAACCTCCTGGCAGATCTGCCGTGCACATTTCAAGATCAAGGGATCCGCTTATGCACTCGCTCACGGAGAGCGTGTTATCTGCAGATAAGAGAACCAAGCTGCAATAAAAGGCACTGCTGAGTCAGGCTCTGCTCTAAACTGGAGGCCTGATTCTAGTAAATCACGTGACTTTCATTTAGAGAAGGCGTTCTCCTGCAGTTCCACCATCTGACCTGACGGGGGCGCTGGTGGCGGCCGATGCTGAGGAGGCATTTCCTAGAAACTGGCCTCAGGTGGGAAATCCAAATCTGGGTTTTGAACCGCTCCCTGCATGAATTATGTGGCTCCTGGCAGCGGCGCCTGGCAGCGGCAGGTTACTGTAACTGCGGCGTTTTACGCTTATGTTTGCCCTTTTCTCATGAATAGCTTCTTTTTCTTCTTTAGGGCAACTGAATCGTGCAAAGCACAAGTTTCTGCCTGATTCACTGCGAGTGAGAGGAAATACTGGCATATTAGATTTGGTTCTTGTCCTCAGAGAGACAGGTCGGTTCGGAACGTCTGGACAAGTTGTAGCAAAATGAACACAAATGCACCACAATACTAGACAAGCACACGTGACTTTGTTGCATCGGCGAATGTCGGGTCGGAAAGTCCACCGCTTTATGGCACAAGCCGAAGCTTCGATGAGCCTTTTGTACAGGTAAACTAAAGGTGAACTCTGAATCGCGTTTGACCTCGCAGGGATCGAAACCCACGCGCGCGCAGAACCTTCAGAGGGTTCAGAGTGTCGCCGCGAGTCGTCATGTTGTTGTTGTTGTTGTTTCTTCTTCTTTATCTTTGTGTAATGACTGCACCCTAAAGAGCTCTTCACACTGCAAAAGGAAACTCCCCACGACAGACAGATGCATGGGGAGACGTGGGCTCTGCCGTCGTGAGGTCGCCGTTGGGTTTCAAAGCCGGTACTTCTGCATTTTGGTCGCAACCGCCATCTTTTTTTTTTTTTGCAACGTGAAGTGAAAAAAGTATAATCGAGAGCTGAATTTGCAGTTTTCAGGCGGGGGGGAAATTTTACTTAACTTTGCATTCATTCGGTTTGTAATACAAAACACACGGCCGGGGCCTCGCCCTAAAGCAGGCTGGGCTCCGTGGTCTATTTCACCCGAAACGAGAGAGGACGCATGCAGGTTTAAGCCAATGGCTCATCCGGTTCACTTCTCAAACGCAGAGGTCGGCCGCCTGTTTGGATGCCTTGGAACTCCAAGGACGAACCTGTGGCAGCTTGTTGTTCTTAGATCACATCGCACAAAGGGTATTCTAAAGGTATTCTAAAGAAAAGACGCTTCGATGGAAGCGAGATGAATGCGTGCCAGGAGCACCTGCATTCACAGCGCCCGGATCCAAGCGCTGCAGGCGGCGTCATTATCTCCTCGTCGTCTTTGTTACAAGGCAGCCCGTCAATTTTTCTTTCTATTAAGGGTTCGTGGAATGAGGAAGTCTTTTGTATGTTGACACGCTGAGATACTTGTATGTTCAGCACAAACGTTCCTTCGATGCGGTTATTGAAAAAAAAAAAAAAAAGTAGACGCGGTGTCACTGCCCGAGGCCTCATTTCCTGTTTTACAGCAACGGTGGGTGATTACTGCATCTGCTCTCACACACACACACACACACACACACACGCACACACACGCACACACACACACACGCACGCACACACACGCACACACGCAGGCTCCAGATGCAGCTCTGACCTGGTGAAGGTGGTATTTAAGGTCCTGGTGCCACCTAGTGGTGGTTTATGGGATCTAGTTGAACTAAAGTTCATTCATTGAATCTGACTTTTGACACCACTACGGTTTTAATCTGCACAAGAGATAAAAGGCACAAAGAAAACAGTCAATCTTTTAATTCTGATCAAATAAAACAACTCCAATTAAGACGTAGACGCCCTTCCATCAGAAATACATATTAGTCCTCTCAGTGTTCTCTATCAATTTATGATTTCCAGTTTCCTGATGTTTGAGATTTCAGCCGTCACTGTTTTAATTATAATATTGTAAACATTGTTTTTATAATAGTATGTAAAATACCATATTAACATATTAGCCATATTAACAACACAAATAATGATGGCAGAACTATATTGATAACAATTGATATTGTTGGTTTGAAGGTTGAAAAGCCGATGAACTCGCTGATGATTTGTCGTTACCTTCAACCCAACGCCCAGTAATATAAAGACAAAGCAACAAATATGTATTTCTATATTTGGGGTGAGCTGTACCTTAAACGTAGTAGTACCATGGTGTAGAAACACGATTTCACAAGTCAGTTGTGCATTCATAATACACATGAAGTATCTGTATCAGAACAATGAAAACTAGGTTATTGGATTTTAAAAACAGATGCTTTACCGTTAATTATATCTATTTATATCTGTCACAAGCAACTATGTCACCTATTAAATAAAAAATATGCCATTGCTAAATCCAAATATGACACACTGCTGTAAAATACATTTCACAGAAGTATATAACGTGTTTAACATAGAAGTACTATTATCAGAACTATTATACTTCACATTAATGCATCAGAAATAACGGATACCTGCTTTATGAGTACTGTGGGTTTTTGTTGATGATGCCATAATTACTTGTACAAAATAAAATGTATAAAGTCTAATCTAAATAAAGCTAATCTTCAATAATGAATCAATAATTAACTGCAAATTAATGACTCCTTCAACATGTGAACAGAGCTAAGAATGGGAGACCTTCGCACACGTTGTGCGCATGCGTACAACGTGTGCAGCGCCCTCTGGCGGCTGGTCGGGATACAGCGTTTGTTCCCTTCTGGACTTACTTAACTGATGTGGGAACATCGATTAAAAGAACATGTAACAGGGAATTATTCATGCTGTCTTTATAGTAGTACATTTATAATTAATAAATATATACTCTGATCATATTAAAACTATGTATATGTAAATATGCAACTGCTATTCTTATAAAAAGAAACATACATGAAACATACAACAAACATGCAATAAATAAAAATTGCCCACCATTTCAAAATGTTAAATGTATTACAGAATAATGAACTGAAGAAGAGATGGATGTAAAGAGAAACAAGAGACAACAAAAAGATGATCGGCCAGAATAACACGCCGCCATGGTTGGAATTACTTTCACTTTTGTCACAAAAACGTATTTGAAATGAAGCAAAGGCCCAACAAACACATTACGTAGCGAGTCGGTGTGTCAACGCGGCGTCACTTTCCGGGGTTTATTTCCCCGTGTTGCATTTAAAGCCGCTGCTCAATAAAAACGCCTTAAAGACCAAAACTCACCCTCGTCGGTCCAGATGGTCCCGTTTGTCCCCGGGCGGCGCGTCTCGGCTGAAATCCACCCGTGTCCTCGTCGAGGGGGACCGAGTCACCGAACCACCACCTGGACTCGGGAGACCCGCCGAGGGTTCGACCCCGCCGACCTGCGCTCGCTTCTCCCGCAACACGACGCGGGTAAACGGCGCTGTGTCTTTCGACTTTAAATGTGTCCCGTTCGGTTTGAATTGAAAGTGAAAATGACTGCAGGCTTCCCACGGAAACGGATGACGTCATCGCGGGGGGCTGCCCACGCGCACCCAGAGCCGCAGTTTTAGTTATTTTCCTCTTTTCAGCTTCAACATCCCTCTTATTAATCAACAATGGCGCGTTTCCTCGACCATAGGAGAAATTAACCGGGAAACGTCAGCTCTGCACGTGCAGATCGAACCTTTCCTCTGACGTCACTACGGACTTGAGTGTGTACATTGAGTTCACGGCGCTATGCCTGCGCATGCGCGGCCGCCGATGTAAAAGCCTTCCCCTAAACCTGGAAACACGTGACGAGGTAAAGAGTCTCACGTGTTCTGTCAAATATTCAATTTATTACAAAAACAAGTTGAGCGGGTGTCACTGTGCGACATTTCAAACCACAATTCACCGTACAGAATCAAAATAGAAGCAAACAGGTGAGTAAAACGCTTCAAAAATCATAACTTGCTTTCTTTAGTCTGATATTTTTCTTCTCGTTCTGCTTCCTTTTCTCTTCCTCCTCTCCTGTTAAGACAAAGTCAAGTTACAGAGTGACTGTGTGAGAATGTTAGGAAGCAAAAATATAATAAAAAATAAAAACAAATTATATATACTTTTTTATTTAATAAAATGGTCTGTTATAAAAACTTACTAAAGGTATTTAGAATTTAATTTAAAAAATAAAATAAAACAATCATCGTTATTCTTTTGAATTATATACGTATATATATATATATATATATATATATATATATATATATATATATATATATATATATAAAGGGTACAACAGAAGAAGTAGCATCTTCTGACCGTACAATAACCATCAGCCGTTAAAATGCCAAACGTGAAGTGCGACCAGACGTCGGGATGAAGCGGCGTTACGTCCAGAGGTTCAACTCACCCGCATATCGGCTGCATTTGTGAAACGGTCTCTGGCAAAGCCTTTCCAAAGGTTTCCGGCAGCAGGAAACACAAGAAGGCGCCACCAATGGCGATACCTCCCATCAATATGTATGGCAGCGCTTTGTAGTATTTTGCTGCAAACCCCCCCCAAAACATTACAATTTTTACTTCAAACAATCACATGTTAAACTATGTTTTCTGTACAATTGTTGTTAACATCAAAGCTTATGGGACTTCTTACTGCAGTAGAGCTTCAACTTCTATTATTTATAGATTAGTTACCAATTAGTCGGTTATTTTCTGGATTCATTGATTAATTGAAGTGTTAAAAACAAATGAATGTTGCATGCTGTACTGAAGAATACTTGAAAGCAGAAATTGGGAGCATAAACTCTTGTTTACAGTCATTTTCTCATAGACGTCTATGGGACCAGAGGAGTCGCCCCCTGGTGGTCACTGCAGAGAACGCAGCTTTAAAGACGGCAGCAACGAAGAACTAAATGCACTGACCCAGATAAATGATGAAGGGCGCGGTGATGGTTCCGATGCGAGCAGCCATGGAGCAACAACCCATCGCTGTGTTTCTGACAACGGTGGGGAAGATCTCTGACGTGTAGGTGTACACCACGCAAAACGATGATGTCATGCAGAACTTCCCCAAAATCTCCAGGACCACAGGGATACTCGTAATGTCTACGGGCGCACAATCAGAACACGCAAAGACTCAAAAGAGCGACACGTCTGAAAATGGGAGACTTCTGGTCCTCAGGAGGCGGCGGCGGCGGCATTACCGGTCGGAATGAGGTGAACGAGGAGGATGAAAACGCCCCCGAAGAAGAGCGTGGAAGACTGGCAGAAGTGCCTGCCGCAGTACTTGAGCAGCAGCAGGGCGATTATGTAGGCCGGCACCTCGACCACGGCCGACAGGAAGCAGCTCAGGTAAGGGTCGCTGTGCATGCTGGAGGTGTTGAGCACCAGCGCGTAGTACCCCACGTTCACCACTATCCTGCAGAGACCAAGCGACAGCTTGAACGCGCGCCGTGACGCTCTTTACGTCGCGGGGAAGCTGCACACGTACCACAGAAACGAGCACACTAGTGTGAGTGAGAACATGTTGCAGCTTTTCACGATGACCAAGATGTTGTGTTTCTCGTCTCTCATGGCCAGTGCGTTGTGGGTCTGCGGGAGACGGGAGAAGAAAACGATTAACAATCGATTCAAATGATGAAAAGCCTTCACTAAGTCCATCACGTGAAACGTGTCACCTCCGCTTGTGTAAATATTTCCTCCGGTGCTTCGACGTTGTTGCTCCTGGCAGCGTCTCTCAATATGTCCTCGGCCTCCTTCAGTCTTCCCTGGAAGAGCAGCCAGCGAGGAGACTCTGGGACCAACCTGTCGGGACGAACAAAGTGCGATTCAACGGGTTTGGGCCGGACAAATTAAACCGTATATGTTTGGGACCAAATACGTTCTCCTCGAAACAGGAGGTTTGGGTTTATGAGGGAGAAAAGTTGTGATTTTTTAAATATCTTCCCTTATCCTCTACTGGGTCATAACCGCACCAACACAGCAGGAGGGAGGAGGAGCATTTTAGGGGGGAAAAGTTGTAAGTGTCATATTGAAGTGGTCAAGGTTACAACGCTGTGAATTCTTGGAAAAAAGACGTCTCGACGTCTGAATTTTGTTATTCCTAAAACAATGTTTTAGGCCTTCACGTTCTTTCGTGAACATAAATAAGAGATTAAGTGGAAACAAACTCCATCTCGGACGTCTGACACAAAGGCGTCTTTCTCTTTATACTAGTCGGTTTCCAAGGGAAGCGATACGGTTCAGATATTATTCTCTTAACAGTTTTGAACACACGTCTTTCTTCTCTGGCTTTTCCCTGCACTATGAACACGATTGCATATACCATTTAGGCGGCGTAAAGGGTCGGGGTCTTCTTCTCACCACCACAGAGGGACGTAGAGCGCGCTGGAGGCGGCGCTGGCGATCAGCAACGTCTGCCAATCTCGCAGGAAGTAGGCCACCGCCGGCAGGGCCATGTACCCCAGAGCGGAGCCCATGAACACGCCCAGCGAGCAGAAGAACACGCGCGCCTTCGGGCTCAGAATTTCTGTCCCTGTGGGCGTTAAACGTGAGACAAAAGATCAAAACAAACCCGAGGCCGTGGTTTTAGTGGTATTTTTAGGTGTTTCACCTCTTCACGGGACATTTGTGAGGCTAAACGCACCGCGCGATCAAAATTCTCACCCATCACAAACGCAATAGTGTAGTTGGAGTTTCCCCCGGCACCAACGAAGAAGAAAATCAGGGTGAAGATCTCCCAACTCGGGGAGAATATCTGTGCCGTGATCGACACGGTCTGAATGGCCATCGTGAGGAAGAGCGCCGGCCTCCTTCCGTACCTGCGCGAGAAACACACGTCTCGGTTCCTCGAGTCCCTCGCAGCAGAAGTGTCATGTAGGACGATAGTAACCTGTCAGATATCTGGCCTGAGAGCAGCCCGCCGACCAGAACGCCCGCGTAGTGGATGGAGGTGGCCAGTGGAGACTTGTACGCGTCGTCACAGACCAGGTCCCACTGCGGAGCAAACACAGTTCCTCACCTCAGTGCACACCAGAGACATCATCTCAGGTGGACAAATGACGGTCAGCATTAGGACTCCTTCTCTTCAAGGTACCACAAGGAACGTTAACTGGAGACATTCATCGGTGTATATCGGTCTTCACTTCCTGATCTCATGCACACGTTACTCTGTTCACTTCCTTCACAAGCAGTAAAGTTCTGAATCCAGAATCCGTTTTCAAGAGCCGAGATTTTAATGTAAATACTTAGAGACTCACCGCCCCAAAATCCGGTTATTAGTCCAATAAATCCTCCTACACTCTGAGTTTCGAATGCACAATATAAGATCAGCGGTATACACTTGAAGTAACGGCAGCTCGAAGGCTAACAGGTGACACCTAGACGTCACAAAGATGAAGGTTGTTCCCCTTGAAGCAGAAGTACGCACAGATATTTGTATCTTCAGCTAAAGCTCAAACTGTGACGGTCATTTATCAACATGTTCTGTTAGATGTGACTTAACTCTGAAGATTGTGTGCGAAACAGAACAAACAAAATGCTCTTCTGTCTGAGAGTCTGATCGACAAAACACTTAAAGACCCTTTGAGAGTTAATTGTCGGCGATATGTTAACGAGGTTTTAGTTAAATGTCTTATCTCGGATTATGTTCTCCGTGTTAACGAGCTCTCCGAGGCAGCGTTATTGGTCCATAAAGGATCTAACGCGACAACACAATACCAAGACACGCTGATTTGGTGAGATCTTTGACCTTTGGCCCACGAAGTGCTGCGCCGTTGTTTCTGAGTCCAGCCGGAGGTTAATCGCTGACTCATTGCTCACCTCGGTGACGATGGTCGAGCGGTAGATTTCCCTGCTGTGCTTCCAACCGTCCCGGCAGCTCTCCAGCGGAATCTCACTCACGTTCACGTCCACGTTTGGGACGAAACTCTCGGCGGAGTATCGCCTGACCGTCGCCAGGTTCAGCCTGGAGCACGAGCTGCGCCTGGCGACGCCGTCCACCGTTTCCGTGGGGATGGTCACGTTCCTCCACGCGTCGCTGATGCTGGCGTTCTCCGGGACGTGGCACTCGTGGGGCGGCGTGGCGGCCACGAACACTATGTAGGCGCCAAAAAAGCCATTGGGGACGATACTGATGGCGAGCGCTAAGAAAATCCTTCGCTGAAAGGGTCCCCAGGACCCGAGGAAGGAGGTGATGCTCTCGTAGTCTCGGCCTTCCGAGTCGTCCGCCAGAGCTGCAGAATCCTTCATACTTACAGATAGAAGGAAAGAGGACGAGCAGCGGAGTGAGGAACCACGTGAGCGCTGATAGGCCGCAGGGACACTGTGCCTCCAGCGGTCCGACGGGCGTTTGAGCAATAAAGCCGAGTTTATGTTTTATAGACCAGCTGGGAGGTTACGCGGTTATCTATTAGTCTGAGAAGGACAAAACCCAGAGGGATTGTGGGTTTGTATCGGCTGCGAGCGGCGAGGCTGCTGATGTCGTCACACAACAGCTTTCCTCGGCAGCAACGGCGCAGAGAGGGTCAGCTGAGTTATGCTAAGCTAAGCGGCGGTGGGCTAAAGAGCGGGATTCTTTTTCTAATGTTTCTTTCAGGATTTGTTTTTTGTTCAAAGATGAAAACAACTGTTTGATGGGAGGTTTCATACGTTCATATTTTAATCACATTTATGCGCCAAATACGAGAGACACATTTTTATTTAATACACGCGTTTTAAGATTCAAAAACTATTATTCGCCACATTTCTAATAAAAAAATCTTGAATAATCTACGAGTAGTAGAAAAATAAAGAGTTTTTATAAAAATGACAAAACACCAGTTCATTCAAATGACTTTTTGATCCCACTGTGCCTGTTTCTCTCTTTCTGGCTCTGCTCCTTCTTCTTCATCCACTACCTATTCACCCTCTTTGGTACCATTGCACAACCTGCAAATTAAAGAAACACGGTTATAAAAAATGAAGTGCACAACATACAGAAATGCATTTTCTACTCATTTTCTTCTTCAGCGAGGTGTTTTTAGTTTGAGTTGTTAAACTATAAGTATGTTTTTTATTTCCCTGCGTTTAAAGTGCAGTGACCTCATGAAATCACGGACTGCGTATAAAACGTGGGGGGGCGTCATCTTGTTTTTTTTTATAGAATGAAATAAACATAATGGTGTGTTGAAGAAGACTGTTTACAACGTTTACTGAGGGAATAAATCAAGAGAGAAGCCATTTTCAGTCATTTTCTCATGGACGTCTATGGGAGCAGAGGAGTCGCCCCCTGCTGGTCACTACAGAGGATGCAAGTTTTGAGACAAACCGGGTGAACTGCACCTACACTGACATTCTTGCATCTGCTCCACTGTTTCTGGAAGGTCCCTGTTGAGGGTCTCCGGCAGGAAGAAGTTCACCACGGAGGAGGCGATTGTGAGACTTCCCATGAGAATATAAGGCAGAGCCTTATTATAAGTGCCTGCAAACGTGGGAGGAGCAAAGATCTACATTTACTTGAACGTGGACGGAGAAGTCACAGATACTGGTTTCATATCCTCTTTAGATGCTGCACACACCCAGATAGATGACGTAAGGAGCCGTGATGCTGCCGATGCGCGCGGCCGAGGAGCACATCCCCATGCCGGCGTTCCTGATGACGGTGGGGTACAGCTCGGCGGTGTAGATGTACACGATGCTGAAGGCCATGGTGAAGCCAAACTTTCCGGTCATTTCCAACGCCAGAGCAACGTACTGAAGGGCTGATGAGGGGAAAGAGGAGATATTTGGATTGAGCCATGAATGGATTCCCCAAACAGTCTGTTTTGAATGGCCGTGAAATAAATTGCTTTTGTCGATTTAATAAAGTTGAATTTAACTAAACTGAGTAGAAAATAAATCTTCCCGGTTCTCTTAAACAAAGACATTTATTCATGACTATTTTCAACCTAATAAAAAATCGTTACGTGTTCAATCCACGTGTTGAAAAGTGTCTTTTGTAACTGCTTCCCTTGAGAGAAGCGTCCATGACACCGTAACCCTTTTCTCAGACGGTGGATCACTACTCGTCTGTGAACGTGCTCAGGCAATAACTCACAAGTGTCATCATCACGTTCCCGATTATTTAGCTTGCACATTTACACCCGTCATTCGCTTGTGCAATCACTGCCACCTCTCATCCAGATGTGGCGCTGCAGAATGAGACATTGTGGCCTCGTAACGAGACGCTGTGATTGAGGTTGAGCGTTGAACGGCATCTCACTGTTGGGGATGAACTGGATGAGGAGGAGAACTCCTCCTCCGATGACGAGGAACGAGGACAGGAGGGCTTTCCTGGGACACGTCCTCAGCAGCCAGGTGGAAACCACGTAGGCCGGCACCTCCGCGGCCGCCGACAGGAAGCAGTTCATGAAGGGGTCGCCGCTCAGGTTGGACGTGTTCAGGGACAATCCGAAATACCCGACGTTTATCGCCATCCTGACACGAAGTCATCTGAACGTCATTTATGAAAACTTTCGCTGCAACGGCGCGACAAAAGAGCGACCACTCACCACAACACGAGGCACATGAGAGTGATGCGCCGGATGTTCTTGGATTTCAGGACATCCAGCATGCTGTACGTCTTGCTCAGAGAGACTCCCTGTAAGGGAAACCAACGCAAACAAGACGACCCGCTGGCACACTGACACACTGAACATTTGAATCCTGCTAATTGATAAAACAAAAGAAGGCTCTTTTCTTTTTCGTCAGCGTCGCTGTCCTCTGAGACCTGCGTTCAAACAGCATCTGCCACATGAAGGAAAATGGGTGACGCTCACCTGGGAGACTTTGAAGACCACAGGTGGTGCTTGGACCTTATTTTTCCTCGCCGCGTCCCTCACGATGGCCTCGGCCTCCTCCAGCCGCCCCCTGGTGACGAGCCACCGAGGAGACTCCGGGATGAACCTGCACACCGAGGAACCTTTACTACCAATGTGCCGACTGTGGGAACATGGCGCCATCGAGGAGAGTCACGAGCGACGTACCACCACAGGGGGACGTACGCCACGGCCGTCATGGACAGGACGGCGAGCAGAGTCCGCCAGTCTCGGATTGCGTATGCGATCCAGGGCAGCGTCATGTACCCGATGCAATAGAAGAGGAAGGCCCCGAGAGTTGTGAAGAGCACCCGCATGGTTTTACTCAGAATCTCCGTCCCTGCAGGGGATAGAATATTAAGAGTGTCCGTTCAGGCGGGTGTTGACGGTTTCTGACCCCGGAGGAGGCTCGTGGTTTCACCTAGCACAAAGGCAGAGATATAGATGGATATCTGGGAGGCTCCGACGAAGAGGAACATGACGCAGAACATCCTCCAGGACTGAGAGAAGGACTGCAGCAGGACGGAGAGACACTGGGCTGCCAGGGAGATGAACACAACCTTCTTCCTCCCATACCTGCACGGAATGACAGAAGACGGCAAGGCACTGACATCGGGGACACGGCGCATTTTAGAAACAACGAGGACAGGGAACCACTTGTGATCGCTTTGGTGACTTTTAATGCTTAAAATCCCTCAGTTGAGGGTTGAGACAACAGCACGATGTCACTGACCGGCCACCTTGTGTGGTTTCAGTAACAGTGACGATGTTCATGCCACGATCCGGAAGAACCAGTTTGCGTGACTCTCAAGTCCTCGCGGGGGTGACAAGAGCTTCGCAAGCGAGGAACTCTTTGAACTGGGCCTCGAAAACCCAACGTGGGGAGAGAAAAGTCTGAAGGAAGTTCTCAAAGCGCCAGGACGACTTCTCCTGTTGAACCGCCTGTGACATACAAGTGTGGATTTAACCCACAACCCTAAGGCCCCCCCCCCCCCCCCCCTGAACCACTGATAGTTTACACAGCTGCAAAAGTAGTCAAACCCTCACTGCCCCTCACTGCTGTGTCCTAAGCTATTTTCTACAATCAAAATATATAAAATGCTTATGGACACTTTCCTCAACCAATCCACAACAAACATTCAAAGTATTTAGGAACGTTTCAATCCTACATTGAATCTAATGGCCGTAATCACGAGCAGTTATCGCCCCACTAGGACAGGAGGTGGACACACACACACCGTCTCAGGGTTCAATCTGGCCCGGATGACCAGTTTTCAACTAAAACTTTTCCCATTTGTTAGAAAAACTGCGATAATGATTAGCTGGAGCCGCCTCCCTGTTTTAGTATAGTGCATCGCACCGAAGAAGAAGAAAACCGTGATCCACGACTGCTTACATGTATTATTTAAATGTCCTGTTTGAGGTACTTTTCTACCAGTATTTGCTGGTTCTCTGGTCTGAGTTGACATGATGACTCCACATCATAGATCCCTCTTTCCCTCTTTCTGTTTTGACAGACAAACAATATTTAAGAAGCCATCCCTGTGAGATAGTTCAAGCGCTCCTGGAGGAGATCTCCTTCGACAGCAGGTGGAGCTGTTGTCGGTTTGACGATATCAATCCTCCAGTAACACTCACTTTAAACCCTCGGTCAAAGATTGTTCAAATAGGGAAGGTTTGGATCAGTCTTACTAAACATCAAGTGCATAAAGTCTGATAATGCACAGAAGACAGGAACACAATCTGGGAACTGTTACTCATGAATTTGGATGAAATACCTGTCAGAAAGATGCCCTGAGATCAGGGAGCCGAAGAGGTAACCCACAAAGAGAGTCGAGGATGCAAAAGGAACTTTCCACTGGTCGTCACAGACCAGGTCCCACTGGAAAAAGACAAACCGGTTTAAAACGGGACGGTAGGACGTGAAACCCCCTCACAAGACGGGCACTGCCCCGCTGACCTCGGTGACGATGTTGGACGGGTACACGTCTTTGCTGTAGTGCCATCCATCCAGACACCTCTCCTGCTCCAAGTCCGTGAGGTTCACGTCTCTTCCAGGAGCAAAGCCTCCAGCGGAGAGGTTCCTCACCACGTCCAGCCTGTATCTGCTGCACTGGCTCTGCACCTCCTCGCCGCCCACCACGGCGAGGGGAATGATGGCCTCCGTCCACTCCGCCGTCAGGTTGACGTCGGGAACGAGGCAGCGGTGTTTGGGAGCCGCCCCGACGAAGACGATGTAAAGGCCGTTGAATCCCGTTGAGACGAAAACCGTGTTCAGGAGGAAGAACGTGGTCCAGAAATAAGGGCCGGTCTGCCCGAGGAACGCCGTGTCTTCGTCATAGTCTCCCATTCTTTGTGAGGACGCAAAAAGGAAAAGACCTCCCTGCTGAAATGTGGAAGGAGAGAGTTTGAGCCGTGGTGGCGTCCCTGCTGAGGTCGGGGGCTTAGTGTCGGGTTGGAGCTCTCTGTGGAGCAGAGTGAGCTGGTCCCTCGCTGGGAAGGGGGGCACAAAGGAGAAACTCTTCCCAGCCCGACAGAGCATTAAACCTCCCGTTGAAGCGGGTAACTCTTTACCCCGCCGTCACTCAGCTCACGAGCGCTCCGTTCACGTGGGATCGGGGAAGCAGAGTCCTCTCGCTCGCTGATTTGATCAAGTGGAAGGAAAACGATCAAAAGCTTCAGTGTGACCGGTGTACCCGACCGACCGGAGCCCCACTCTGGTCAAAGAGGTGTTTTCTCCAAACAACATTCCACACTTATAAATACCCCAAAGAACTGCACGAGCTGTGCTCTAAATTGTACTAAGTAGCATTAGGACCAACTATTTTAAAGCCACACTGCACACAAGGCAGGCGGGCTTTTATGTGAAAGAGCAGCGGACATAGAAGTCCAGTGTGCAACTTTAAGATGTTTTATAAATATGCTAATTTAAACCGCTTAAATGG